TGCTGGGTGGTTGTTCCGTGCATCATTCAAGAGCAGCTCACTGCCTTTGCCGTCATCATGCAGAAGCACCAGGGATGGGTCGGTGCGTGCGGGTGGGGTGGAGGAGGGTATGACGTATGGGTTGCAACTTGCAAGTCAGGGTCTTATGGGTCCATGGGTCCATGTATCATTCTAGAGCAGCTCACTGCCTTTGCCGTCATCATGCAGAAGCACCAGGGCTGGGTTGGTGTGTGTGGGGTGGGTGGGGTGGGGTGGAGTGGAGGGGGGTGCTGTTCCGTATGGGGTGGTGTGTGTGTGTGTGTGTGGGGTGCTGGGGGGTGTTCCGTCATCATGCATAAGCACCAGGGGTGGGTTGGTGCATGTGGGGTTGGAGCACCTCCCAACCGCTATACATCTCTCCTTCTTGAAATCACTTTTGAGAATTCTCAAAAGTGATTTCAATGTAGGGAGCACCTCCCAACCGCTATACACCTCTCCTTCTTGAAATCACTTTTGAGAATTCTCAAAAGTAAGTTATTTCAATGTAGGGAGCACCTCCCAACCGCTATACACCTCTCCTTCTTGAAATCACTTTTGAGAATTCTCAAAAGTAAGTTATTTCAATGTAGGGAGCACCTCCCAACCGCTATACACCTCTCCTTCTCCTATGTGAGCAGGGCTGCTGCAGAAGACCGTGCTGGAGAGTGTGGGGTGCATCTGGTTCAACCGCACAGAAGCCAAGGACTGATCCATCATGACGTGTTCCAGCTTCTCTACTCCGCCCAACCGTTGTGCACCACACTGATTTCTCCCTCTGTGAGCAGGGCTGCTGCAGAAGACCGTGTTAGAGAGTGTGGGGTGCATCTGGTTCAACCGCACAGAAGCCAAGGACCGAGCCATTGTCACAAACAAGTAGGTGCCTAGCCAGGTACATTACAGAAGACTTGTTGTTCTATCCAAAAAAAAACTTTATCCCTTTTTGGCTGGAAACTCTCCCTTAACTTGAATATTTGGTCTGTAATCTGGAATGTGTCTTGACTTGATCCTGTACTTTTGTTTCCGTATGTGTTGTCTGTCCTGAGAAATGCCTATTTACCCCTTACAGGCTTAAGCAGCATGTTACTAGGGCGGATGCCAACCCGCTGCTTATATTCCCCGAGGGCACATGTGTTAATAACGAGTATACAGTCATGTTCAAGAAGGTGCGTCAAGGCAAGCGGGCGCATATGCTCTGGTATCAATGTTGCTTGCTGAAATCAATCGTGACAGAATGCAGTGGTATGGGAACTTGGCAACTTGGCGCAGGTATGAGTTCAAGCATGGAAGCAGTCCATTGGTCCCTCACCATGCATGTAGTGTAACATTTATCTATCGTGCCTCTCCCTTCCTCTCCTCTCTCTTCCCTCACCATGCACTATGGGGATGGAGAGGGAGATGCATGTGCCGGAGAGAGGTTGATAGGCTCACATAACCGCCAAGTGAAGGATGCTTTATATGCTTACTTCTCTATGTCTACACCAATTTCATATGCTTACAACTCCGTTTTTTGGAACGACCTGCAAGGAGTAGACAAATCATAGGAGATACCAAGAAACAAAGTTTGTTAGCGTACGAGATTGGTGTAGACATCTTTGAAGCAACTTCCACATGGCGGTTAAGAGAGTCTTTAACCTCTTCAGCAACGCATCTCCCTCTCCAGTGGAACTGTGCCCTCTGCCGCATCGCCACCCGTTGTGTTGAGCACGCATCTTCCATACATGCACCATCCACCCTCCCTCTCTTCCTCCCTCCCTCCCCCGCATGCATGCATGCATGTTAGCAGGGAGCATTCGAGCTGGACTGTGCCGTGTGCCCATCGCCATCAAGTACAACAAGACCACCTTCCGTCCATTCACCGTCTTCTCCCCCTCCCCATACCCTTCCCTCCTTCACACCCTCTCATGCATTCATGCAGGGAGCGTTCGAGCTGGACTGTGCGGTGTGCCCCATCGCCATCAAGTACAACAAGACATTCGTCGATGCCTTCTGGAACAGCCGCCAGTACGGCCCTCCCGCCTACCCCCACCCCCCCCCTTGCTCCTTAGCCCGCCTACCCCCACCCCCCCCTTGCTCCTTAGCCCGCCTACCCCCACCCCCCCCTTGCTCCTTAGCCCGCCTACCCCCACCCCCCCCTTGCTCCTTAGCCCGCCTACCCCCACCCCCCCCTTGCTCCTTAGCCCGCCTACCCCCACCCCCCCCTTGCTCCTTAGCCCTCCTACCCCCACCCCCCCCTTGCTCCTTAGCCCTCCTACCCCCACCCCCCCCCTTGCTCCTTAGCCCGCCTACCCCCACCCCCCCCTTGCTCCTTAGCCCTCCTACCCCCACCCCCCCCTTGCTCCTTAGCCCTCCTACCCCCACCCCCCCCTTGCTCCTTAGCCCTCCTACCCCCACCCCCCCCTTGCTCCTTAGCCCTCCTACCCCCACCCCCCCCTTGCTCCTTAGCCCTCCTGCCCCCATGCCCCACCGTCGGGTTATCTCATGCTCCGTTCTCATATTGTTCCCATCTTAAGCCCTTCGTCGATGCCTTCTGGAACAGCCGCCAGTACGGCCCTTCCTCCCTCCCTCCTCTTGTGCTGTGCCCCACCCCACCCTCCGTCCCTTCGTCCATCCGTCCCTTCGCTTATGCCCCACCGTCTTTCCCTCCGTTCCTGTCTCCCTCCCTCTCCCTGTTGCCCACCCACTATACTGCACTTTTCTATTACAAAATTTCTTCTTGCCGTTGGAAGGGAAAGAAAAACGGAAAAATCCTTCACTCCCCGTCTTTTCCATGCTCCCCATTTCCTAAACCCTCTCATCACACCCCCAGGCAATCCTTCACCATGCACCTTGTGCGTCTCATGACATCGTGGGCGGTGGTGTGTGACGTGTGGTTCATGGAACCGCAGTACATCCAACCAGGGGAATCAGCAATCGATTTCTCTGAACGGTGAGAGACGGTACGAGTGCTGGGTTGAAACAGCTGTACGAGTGGTGGCGTGCGTGAGTCAAGTCAGCTATGGTGTGTGACGTGTGGTTCATGGAACCGCGGTACATCCAACCAGGAGAGTCGGCAATCGAATTCTCCGAAAGGTGAGAGACATTTGCGTGAGTTGTGAGTTAAGCTGTCCCAGAAGAGGACGCGAAGTGTGTGAGTCAATTCAATGCTGGTCAGCCAAATGGACTTTTGAGTCGACTCAAAAATGGACTTGTCTCTTCCTCATCTGCGCCCTCTCCCCTCCCACGTGCCCACCCCACACTGCAGGGTGCAGGAGCTGATTGCGCGGAGGGCGGGAATCGAGGTGGTGCCTTGGGATGGTCCCTTGCTGATGCGTCACCCATATACACTTGTCTCTTTTTCATCCGCGACCTCCTCTCCCCCTCCTCTCGCATCCCCATGTGAGCTCATGGCAGGGTGCGGGAGCTGATCGCTAGGAGGGCGGGGATCAAGAAGGTGCCGTGGGATGGGTATCTCAAGTACTACCGGCCCAGCCCCAAGCTCACAGAGAAAAGGTATGGCGTGTGCTGGTGGTGGTGGTGGTGGTGGTGGTGGTGTGTGTGTGTGTGTGTGTGTGTGTGTGTGTGTGTGTGTGTGTGTGTGTGTGTGTAAGTCAACTCAGCACTAAGTGGTGCCGTGGGATGAGTATCTCAAGTACTACCGGCCTAGCCCCAAGCTCACTGAGAAGAGGTATTGTTGGGGAGGGAGAAACATGGTATTGAGCCTGCAAAGACAGGGAACCTTTCTGTGAGAGAGGTAGCGGCAAGCTCACAGAGAGGAGCCAGCGTGTGTGAGTCTACCGAGTGCTGTGGGATGTACACGGCAAGCACAGAGAAGAGGCAGGCAGATGGGTACATCAAGTCTTATCGGTCCAGCCGACACAGAGAAGAGGTATGGTGTGCGACAGATGTAGGCGTCTGTCACAACTGCCCACAAGCAGTACCACTCACAACTGCTTTCTCACCTTGCACGAGTTTGCATGGAGTGGTACAAAGCAGTCAAGCAGTCTGCCCTCCCTCTTCGGCTTTAAGGCACCTTCGCACCCCTCCCCTCCATCGCCCTGTTCCAATCTTCCCCTCCCCAGGCAAGCCAAGTACGCGCACTCAGTGCTGCTCACCTTGCAGGAGATCACAGGCAGTGTTGCGGCGCTACCCTCACCCGATGCAGACAAGCTCATCCTCTGATACCACAAATGCCGGGTTTGTTTTAAGGAAATCTTCTGAGGTGCCTCAGACGCCGGTTTGTCTGAAAGAGAACTTCCGTTAGAAAGCATGTCCGGAACAAAAATGGAATCATGGACGAGCGCTTTGTGTAACGGGAGCTTACGTGAATTGTTGGGGTGGAGGGCGTTGTTTGTAGGTAGGGCAGGTAGAGCCACATGTGCCAGTAATGTCAATGTCAGTTGGATCCTGCAACTACTGGTAGGTAATGTAAGGAGTGATTTCATAGCGCTGCATATCACATCATACATAAGAAGATGTGCGCTTGGATGTAGGGCTGGATAACCTGAGGCAAGAGAATCCGGAGATTGCTAGTGTGCATGACAGCCTCATGTGGATTTGAGTCATTATGCTGTCCTCCTCACATGGAATCTGAGTCTTCAGGTCATCCTCACGTGGAGATCACCTGGAGATATGAAGTTACTCTTGGAGAAACAAGCAGGTGGGTGGATTGTGTGGATGTGTGTGAAAAGAGAGCGGATTGGAGCAAAACAGCTGTGCCAGCCGGGAATCGAACCCGGGTCTGCACCGGGCACATGGCAGGGTGCTATTCTACCACTAGACCACTGGCACTGGACGTACGCAATTACATTGCAGACATAATATTCAATAATTTCGATGGTGAGAAGTGAATGTAGCTGTACAATACTGCACAGCGGACCAATGATGCCAACGGTTACACATACAGGTGGGTTGCACAAGGCGTTACACGCTAGGCATGTCACGTCATTCAGCTCACAGAACGGCTCTCTCAGCTGATCAGCACACGCCAGGCAAATCCTCACAACTTACACGCTGAGCCGTGACACGACATTTGGGCCACAGAAGGGCTCTGTAAGCTGATCAACACACGCCAGACGAATTCTCTCTGGGGTGGCGGGAGAGTCGAGACGAAAGAAGCCAGTGTGGCCAGCGTCCTTCCGGGCGGCGTAGATGGCGTCTTTTATGGCCCACATGACGGATGAGCCGAGGAAGAAGGGCGGCTCGCCGACCGCTTTGGATGAGAGCACTGCGTGTGGATTGGGGGAGTCCTGTTGTGGCAGGGGAGGGGGGGCCAAAGGAGGAAGGTGGAAAAACAGGGTGGAAGGAGGAAAAAAAAAAGAAAAGACAAGGGGGGCTGAGCAAGGAGAAAGGTGCAAAGAAAGGTGCGAAGTGACAGGGGAATAGGCGAAGGCATGGGGAAGGGGAAGTGAAGTAAGAGACGACCATTCCATCTTCACCCCCTTACCTCAAACTCCCACACGCACTCACAGCCAGCAGAGTGACTCGCAAGTCTGTGGGAATATCAGAAGCGGCAGGGATCTTGTACGTGCCGGGCCCACACGTGAAGAGCGAGCCAGGCGCTACCCATGGGTGAGCGCTGTCACCCCACTTGCTCTCCTCAATCACCGACCACCCCATTCCTTGTACAAACGCCCCCTCTATCTGCACAGGGTAGAGGTTTTGCGGAGGAAATGAATAAAGATAACGAAAACTCCGACACGTGAGGAGTGATCCAGGCGCCAACCACTCCACTTGCTCTCCTCGATCACCGGCCACCGCATACCCCGCACAAAGGCCCCCTCTATCTGCAGGGGATATGGGGGGCGGAGAAGAGACAATACAGAATTTTGAGAACTCCCCCACAGTTTAAGAGTGGTCCAGGCGCCACCCACCGGTGGTGTTGTCGCGTGTAGAGAGTGAGTTTTTTGAGACGTCTCAAAAACTCACTTTCCCCAATGGTGGGTGCTGTCGCCCCAATTGCTCTCCTCAATCACCCCATGCAGCCCTGCACCAACGCCCCCCCACCCCCTCTATCCAGGCCCAGGCTCACCTGTCCAATGTCAATGGCTGGGTTGAGTGACCGCCCCACATCCATGAGAACATCAACTCGCGGTGCCACCCACTCCCCAGTCAGCACATCTACCACCACCTCTGCCACCGCTGCTCCGAACGTGAAGTAGGCGAAGGGGGAGCCGGAGGCTGTTGCCCAGTCGAATTCGATGTTGGGGGTGGCAAAGAATCCCTGCGCTGACAGGTTTATGCGTTCTCTGTAGCATCGATCGGCAATCTGGAAGGACCAGGGGAGGGTGCAGGGGGAAACAGAGGGGTGGATGTGAAGTAGGCAAAAGGGGAGGCGGAGGCAGTTGCCCAGTCGAATCCGATGTTGGGGGTGGCGAAGAATCCCTGCGCTGACAGGCTTGTTCGTTCTCTGTAGCACCGGTCGGCAATCTGGCAAAGAGGGGGGAAGAAGGGGTTGCATGGGAGGCCCTTGAGCGGTATATCGGGGGCATGTGGAGGGTATACTGTTTCATACCACGTTTCATCTCAGCTACAACGTTTCATACCACCAATACCGTTTCAGCTCACCTGTATTGCTTCATCCCGCCAGTCCCGTTTCATCTCACCTGTATCGTTTCATCTCACTTGTACCGTTTCATCTCACCTGTATCGTTTCATCTCACTTGTACCGTTTCATCTCACCTGTATCGTTTCATCTCACTTGTACCGTTTCATCTCACCTGTATCGTTTCATCTCACTTGTACCGTTTCATCTCACCTGCCCGAACGTCTCCTCAGGGTACTGCTGCCTGATTGGCTCCATCCGACGCTTGATCTCCTCACAAGCTTCCAAAACCGCCCGTCCGTAGATGTCTGACGATGCTGATGCGGCCGTGGGAGAGGTGTTGGGTACCTGTGAGAGGAGGCGGTAGGAGCGCAGCAGGAAGGGTTTTTAAAGGCTTTTCAACAGTCGACTGGGATTCAGGGTTCATAAGTATGAACGAGTTCAAGCCCAGGCCTGTGGGAGAGGAGTTGTGTACCTGTGAGAGGGAGCGGTAGGAGGGCAGCAGGAAGGTTTTTTAAAGGCTTTTCAACAACTGTCTGAGATTCAGGGTTCATAAGTATGATCGAGTTCAAGAGGAGTTCAAGGCCAGGCCCGTGGGAGTGGTGTTGGGTACCTGTGAGAGGGGCCGGTAGGAGGGCAACAGGAAGGCTCTTTTGAGGCGTCTCAAAAGTCGTCTGAGATTCAGGGTTCAAAAGTATGAACGAGTTCAAGGCCAGGGCCATTGGAGAGAAAAACACATTCAAAGTATGAGGTTAGAGTACCTTATCTGAGACCAGCACGGATCCTGCTGGTCTGAGAGAAAAAAACACATTCCACAGCAAGGTCTGAGCAGCGATCTGAGCGCACTTGGTATGAAGCCCCTGACCCATCTCCACCCCTCATTGCTTGCTATAACCTCACCTTATCAGTGCTAGTTTCAGATATGAACACATTTGACAGCGGCACTCCCAAGGTCTGAGCAGCAATCTGAGCACACTTGGTGTGCAGCCCCTGACCCATCTCCACCCCTCCGTGTGTCACCAGCACCGTTCCGTCCGTATACACATGCACCAGCGCCCCGCCCTGGTTCAGAAACTTGGCAGTAAACGAAATGCCAAACTTGGTGGGGATCATCGCGAGGCCTTTCTTTCGCCACCGGCTTGTCGAGTTGTATGTGTCGATGTTGGTTCGGCGGGATTCAAAGGAGGAGGAGTGGAGCAGCTGCGTCCAGATTCGGTGCATCGGGTTGTGCGTTAGAGGCTGGCCGAAGTGGAGGGTGTAGCCCTCTGGTTGGAGGTTCAGAAACTGAAAGGAAAGGAAAGAGGCAGGAGGGAAGGGGGGATGGGAGGGGAAGGGAAGGGAAAGGAAAGAAGAGCACAGGGCAAGAGAGGTTGAGTTTGGTGGGGATGGAATCATTGCGAGTCCTTTCTTTCGCCACCGGCTTGTCGAGCTGTACGCGTTGACTTCGGTTCGGCGGGATTCGAAGGAGGAGGAGCGGAGCAGCTGTATCCAGATTCGGTGCATCAGGTTGTGAGTTAGGGGCTGGCCGAAATGCAGCGTGTAGCCCTCTGGTTGGAGGTTCAGAAACTGCAGGAACCGGGGGGGGTGAGCAGGGGGTTGAGGGGAGAGGGGAGGGGGGAGGGGGGAGGGGGGACGGGAAGAGGAAGTCGTTGGGAAGTGTTGGGTTGTGCCTCAGGGACTGGCCAAAATGAAGGGTGTAGCCCTCTGGTTCGAGGTTCAGAAACTACAGGCAGACGGGGGGAAGGTTAGAAGTGAGGGAAGAGGAAGGGGGTGGGAAGAGGAAGGGGGTGGGAAGAGGAAGGGGCTGGGAAGAGCCAGGTTGTGGGTCAGAGGTTGGCCGAAGTGCAAGGTGTAGCCCTCTTGTTGGAGGTTCCGAAACTAAAGGAACGGGGAGCAGGAGAGAGGAAAGGAGTGATTGAAGATGCAGTAGAAGCGGTGAAATGTGCGTTGACTCGACTCGTAAGCCAACTGCAGGGTGTGACTCGACTCATAAGCTGAAACTCCCAGCGTGACACCCACTCACACTCACCCTGACTTGAGACGTCTGAACGCAGACAGGCACTCACCCTTATCTCTTCCGCGCGCTTCCCAAGGGTCCTGGGGACGTGACCGATGGCACTCTCTATCACCAGTATCCTCTGCGGTCCCCCAACCAACCCCCCGGAAGGCCGTGTTGGAGGGCAGGTGCGTGCGGGCCATGCAAGAGGCTCACGCTCACATTCACACTCACACTCACACTCACACTCCCATTCACACTCACACTCACACTCACACTCCCATTCACACTCACACTCTCATTCACACTCACACTCCCATTCACACTCACACTCACCCTAATTTCTTCCGGGCTCTTCCCAACAGTCCTCGCCACGTGGTCAATAGCACTCTCCATCACCATCATCCCCTGCGGCCCGCCGAACCCCCGGAAGGCTGTGTTGGAGGGCAGGTGCGTGCGAGCCATGCGCCCCCGGGCATGCATGTGCGGTGCTGAGTAGGCCGAGTCACAGTGGAAGAGAGCTCGCTCGAGGACTGCTGCTGAGAGATCGAGCGTGCAGCCGGCGTTCGACACGAGCAGGACTTGCAGGGCCACGAGATGACCTGAAGGGGTGAAGCCCACCTGTTCAGAACGGGTGAGAGGAGGACGGGAAAAGGGGGGAGGCGGGTTGAGAGGGGGACTATCAGGTGCGTGCGAGCCATGTGCCCCCGCGCGTGCATGTGCGGTGCGGTGTAGACCGAGTCACAGTGGAAGAGCGCTCGCTCTAGCATCGCTGCTGAGAGATCGAGCATGCAGCCGGCGTTGGAGACCAGGTGGATTTGCAGGGCCACGAGACGACCAGAAGGGGTGAAGCCCACCTGACGAGAGAGGGGGAGAGAAGGGAGGCAAAGGGGGGCGATATGCAGGCAAGAGAGACGAGTGACAGGTTGTTGATGCAAGCTGCGCCATGCCATGCCATGCCATGCCATGCCATGCTATTACCATCTCACCTTACAACCTGCTGCCAACCCGCCAAATCACTCACCTTGTATTTGCCGTAAAACGGGTGCCTTTGCCCCGTGACCTTCATATCATCATCCCTGTTCAACGTGATCCTCACAGAATTCTGCAACCGGGCTATGCCATGCCCCGCCATGCCATGCACTGCCGATTAAAATCTCACCTTGTATTTGCCGTGAAAAGGGTGTCGCAGCCCCGTGACCTTCATGTCATCATCCCTATCCACCGTGATCCGCACAGCCCTATTCAACCGCCACGCCGGCATCTCATCTAGTACCTGACACGAAGCATCACACTCACTAACCTTGAACTTGCCGTAAAAAGGGTGTCGCTGCCCCGTGACCTTCATATCATCATCCCTATCCAATGTGATCCGCACAGCTCTATTCAACCGCCACGCCGGCACACACGCCGCCGCCGCCACCAGCACGCTCCGCGTCTCCTTCCCCCCAAACCCCCCTCCCAGCCGCTTCACCCGCGAAACCACCCTGTGCATGGGAATCCCCAGCACAGCAGCGACATCCTTCTGGTGGTGTGTGGGTGCTTGGGTGGAGCACACCATATGGACTTCCCTCCCCCCGTCCACAGGCCAAACCACGCAGGTGTTGGGTTCAAGATAGAAGTGCTCCTGCCCTCCCATCGCCACCTCGCCTTCAAGTACCAATGGGCATTGGGACACGTCAGCCAGGACGGATTCCACGTCAGCAGGGGAGACGGAGGACCCGGTCCGGGCGGCGAGCACTTGGATGCTTGCTGAATCGGACGGGGAGGATTTGACTTTGTTGTTCTCTTCTGAGGCGTTTTCTTGATCGGTTTTCACAGGGGGGTTTGGGACCCTGAGGAGGTTTCTTTCGGTCTGCCCGCCCGAGAACGGGAATTTGTGAAAGCTGCCCGAAGCAAGGGCTTCCTGGATGGTGAGAATGGCGGGCAGATCCTCGTAGACCACTTTGACCTTATTTGCAGCTGCCCGAGCGTGGTCGTGAGTGTCGGCAACAACCACTGCAATGATCTGCCAACGGGCAGAAGAAAATAATGGGGTAACCAGAGGAAGAAGAAAGAAGTCAGCCGCAAAGGGTTTGAGAATTTTACTGCCGGGAAGGAAGAAATATTGAAGCTGGTGGAGTTGAATAATCAAGAAAGGGAGGTAGGTGAATATGCAACCGCAGCCCCCCCCCTGCCCCTACCATATCTGCCCTTCCCATACTTGCCCCTTCCACACATGCCCCACACCCACCTGCCCCACACAGTGGACAATCTCCGAAGCAAACACCTCCTCATCGTGCTCCACCGCACCAAACCGGTTGCTACCGGGCACATCCTTGGCTCCAAACATCCCCACAAAGCCCGGACAGGTGGCGGCCTCTGATTGGTCGATGGAGAGAATGCGAGCGTGGGGGCGTGTGCTGAGGACAAGAGCGCCATGCAGGGCAGAGGGGGGGAGAGGCGTGTCGTCTGCGTATTCCGCCTCTCCTGTCACCTGCAAGTCAGCAGAGAGGTGAACGGCCGGCACCCCCACCACCGCCCCTGCCTCCCCTCCTCCTCCCTCACTCCCAGAGCCAGTAGCAGCGCCCTCTGCCAGGGGTCTGGCCTCCCATGCTTGCATGCCGCGGGGATAGGGGCGAGGGAGAGAGTCCAAAGCGGACAGGTAGGAGGGGGGCGGCCACACGGAAGCTGCATCGTTGCTGCTGCTGCTGCTGGCGTTGGTTGTGGTGCTGGTGGTTGTGAGGGTGCTCTCTCCTTCCGAGCCTGCTCCTGCCCCTCCCTCTGCCTCTGCCCCTCCCTCTGCCCCCGTTTCCATTTTCCCTGGCAGCTGCTGCTGCGACTGACAATTCACACGGTGGGCCACAAGCAGAAAGAACTTGAAGAAGAAGGAGAGAACGAGGGATCCCCTGAACTCAGGCATGCCGCCAGGTGCGTTCTCAGGTATGCATATCTCCTCCTGAAGCACCTGAAGCGCCACCTGAAGGGTTTCTTGAGTCCAGGAGCGGCCGAGCAGGTGTTGCTGCGTGCGGTGGGCTGATACTGTTGTTGCTGCCACGCCTCCGAATACGAGCGAGCACTCGAGAACTGAGGGAGGGGCGTCTGTATGGGGGAAGAGGGGGGAAAAGCGGGACGGATGGGAAGGGTGTTGCTGCATTGATGACCCTTGAGGATATCCTGAGTCCAGGGGCGGGTGAGCAGGTGTTGCTGAGTGCGGTGGGCTGATACTGTTGTTGCTGCCACGCCTCCGAATACGAGCGAGCAGTCAAGGACTGAGAGAGGGGCGTCTGGAAAGGGGGACGAAGGGGCGAGAAGAGGGCATTGTAAGTGCACGAGCGAGCAGTCAAGGACTGAGGGAGGGGCGTCTGGATGGGGGAAGGTGGGGGAATGGGTGGACAACAGGGGAGAATGGAGGTGAAACGGAGGAACGGAGAAGTGACTGCAGCTCCTTGCAGGTCAGTCGGTTCAGAAAGAGGCAGTGTATATTCTGAGAAGAGATTTAGGCGCCTCAAATATTGGCTCAGAAAGAGACAATGTACCAACGAGGTGACCCAGGCTTTGAAACAACTCAAAACATGGGCGTATGGGCGGATGGGTGGACGGGTGGATGGAGGAGCGGAAGGGCACCTGGAGTGGGAGGGGAGAGCAGCACGCGCAGGGCGGCATTGACAAGAGCAATGTCGTTGTCCTTGCCTTTTGCCTGCTTGCCCTTTGACTCGACTCACAGTTACCTCTTTCATGTTGGCATGGGCAGCGGGCACCCACCCACTCGGATTGGGATGGGATGGGAACCCACCTCGGTTGGGAGGGGAGAGCAGCACGCGCAGGGCGGCATTCACGAGAGCAATGTCGTCATCCTTGCGGTGTGCCTGCTTGTATGCCACCGTGTGCTCGTTGGGACGAGTCCTGGGTAAAAGGGTGACATCAAATCAGGGGGATGCGATCAGTTAAAGAGGCCACAACTACTCTTTAGAATTCACAAGGATTCGAGGGGAACAAACTCCAATGCACATGATGGCTTGAGGTTTCCCCTTACCATGGAATAAACACTGCTGTAAAGACCTCCCCCTCCCTCAGATCCACCTTCCGGTACCCCTTGAAGAAATCCCGTGCCGCCACCTGTCGTAGCTCGATTGGACGGGAGGATCGCTCGGCCTTGACCACGTCAGCACTTGCTGCCATGTCAGCATCTGCCACGTCAGCGGCCTTGGGTGCCAGCCTGGCGAGGTGGAACGTCGCGTTGGCAGCGATGAGGATGGGGTTGAGGTCGGATATGGGGCTCGCTGTAACGATGTTACCAGCTAGCGTTGCCACGTTGCGAATCTGAAAAAGGAGCGAGGTGCAAGGTAGGGACATCCTTGAGGAGCCTAAAAAATGGAGGGGGTTCGTTAATGAGGAATGGGGAAGAAAGGCGTGCAGCACCAGATATGGTGCTACTGACTCACTTTGCCATGTTACCAATACTCCAAGGGAGAGGTCAATGGAAGGTGGGAGAGAAGGACGGGCAAACGTCACACATGGTCGGTAGGGTACATGGGCTCCTTCAAGAGAAGTAGTCCGGCATGGGAATCTCCCATGGGTCAACGAACCACCTTAGCTGGCACACTGCAAGGACAGCCTACCGACTATAGCAGCACACACAGCTGTCTTGTGAGCTGGCACGCGCTGCAGCTGCTCTGCTGCCAGCATGGCTTGGCGCAGGGCGGACAGGGAGGCAGCTGCCCCCCCCACAGCCACACAAGGCCAAGGAACCTTCAGCATAGCAACTGAGCCGATGGGTGAAATCTTAGGCGAATGTCCGTACCTGCACTCCTGCGAACCACCTCAGTTGTTCCGCTATAGCAGCACACACAGCTGTCTTGTGATCTGCCACACTCCCCACTACTGCCAGCATGGCTTGGCGCAGGGCGGACAGTGAGGCTGCTGCCCCGATAGTGATGCCGCGCTCTGATTGGCCAATTTCTGAGAGCGCAGGGATGGCTGCCACGTGGATGTAGGCTGGAGGTCTGGGAGAGGGAGAGATGGGAAAGGGGAAGAGACAGACGCAATGGAAGAGGGACCAGAGGGGGGCAGGCGAGAGGGAGGGAGGGGAAGGAGGGGCGTTTTTGAGAAATCTCAAAAACACCCTTCAGCATCAGGGGCGGGCGAGAGGAAGGAGGGGAAGGAGGGGCGTGGGGGAGGGAGGGGAAGGAGGGGCGTGGGGGAGAGAGGCAACGACGACGGAGGAAAGACGATGTGGTGAAGGGAATGGATGGAAGAAAGAGAGGAGGTTTGGGCAGGAGTAGTGGGAGAGAATGGGGGATGGGCGGAATCGGGACGGAAAGACGGAACAGGGATTGACGGGCACAATTAAACTTATTCCCTTGAACCCCACATCACCTCTCGGCACCCCCTCGAACCTCACCTGAGCCCCTTGAACCGCATCTCCACGCCGACCTCCGTGTTCCCCGCCACCACCTTGGCTGCAGGAAACGCTTCTCGTAGCGCCAACAGCTGGCGCAGCGTGATTGGCCGAAACCACACGGCCCTGCTTCTATCCTTGCTGCTGCTGCTGCTGACCGTGGCAGCAGCGCTGGCAAAAGCATGCAGTTGCAGGGATTTACAATCCCCAAGGCACAGGGGCAGTGGGAGCTGGGATCGCCTCAGTAACTCGGGAGGGAAGATCGGCTCGGATGCTCCCAGCAGGTCAGCTTCCATGCCACTCGCTGCTGCTGCTGCTTGAACTTTGGATAGTGCTGCTGCTGCTGCTGGATCAGCTGCTGCTGGCGATGACGCTGCTGCCCCTGATACTCCTAACGAGCAGGGCTTGGCTTTGCCGCAGCTGCCATCTTCACAGCACTTGGCCTCGTTCCTTAGGGCAACTGAAACTTTCCCGCACGAACAAGGCAGGCCAGTGGAAGGGCAAACTGCTGCCCCAAGGTGCCCATCAATAAGACCATCTTGAAGAGCCATTTCAGAAGCAGCATGTGAAACACGAAGAGAAGCAGAAGCATGAGCAGCAGCGTCAGCAGCATAGGCAGCAGCGTCGCCACGAGCAAAAGTGCGGAAGGCCTCGAGAATGGGGCGGTAGCCGGTGCAGCGGCACAGGTTGCCCGATATGGCCTCCTCTATCTCCGCCTTGGAAGGCAGCAGGGAAGAGGGGGAAGAGGAAGAGGAAAGACAGGAGGAGGAAGCAGAGGAGGAGGCAGAGGAGGAGGCAGAGGCAGCAGAGGAAGAGGAGCGGAGCAGAGCATACATGGACATGACAAACCCAGGCGTGCAGAAACCACACTGCGAGCCGTGTGAGGAGGACAGAGCCGCCTGCACCGGATGCAGCCTCCCCCGCGTGCTGCCGATGCCCTCCACTGTGACTACAGCTGCCCCCTCCACGCTGTATAGTGGGGCTAGGCACGCGTTGACGGCACTGTGGCTGGTGGGGTGGGCGAGATCGGGGTTGGGAGGGGAAACATTGGGTTACACTTCACTTCAATTTGTGAAACATTGGGTTACACTTCACTTCAATTTGTGAAACATGGGTTCCAACGAAGTGGTGAAGTGAATCTGAAGGTTACAAGAGGGAACAAGAGGGAATACTGAAGATTTGAGAAAGAACAGCTGGGACTTGACAGTGCATGAGAGGCATCCACTCCGCCCTCCTCCTGACTTACTCCCAATGCGCAAGCACGGATGCACCACCATGCTCACCTAATTCTGCCCGTTCCCCCGTCTACCCGCGAGACCATTACAGTGCACGCACCGCACCCGCCCTCCCCGCACCCCAGCTTCGTGCCTGTCATGCCGTTGTCTGTGGCGTTGTGGGGGGGAACGGGGAGTAGGGAGGGGGGGGGAGGGAAGGAGGGGTTGGAAAAGGTTGGAAAAGGAAAAAAGGAAAGTCTTACAGTGCACACCCGACTCCCGCCCTTCCCGCACCCCAGTTTCTGCCTGTCAGACCATTGTCTGTGACGTTGTGGGGGGAAACGGGGACGGGAAGAAAAGAAGGGGGAAGCTGGATGCTACTAGTGGTCAGAATCGTCAGCCACACGAAGCACGAGATGGAGTTAGCGTCAGAAACACGAGACGTCGCGCGTGACCCGCTAAGAACAAAAAAAGGCGACAACCGACAAACACCCGGCTGAACCTTGAACAATAAAAGCTGATAAAACAAAAGCGTTCCCAATAAGCTAAAAAACATCAACGTAACTATAAGTTGATTCAAAAGCCACTACGCAAGTTTGGGAGAGGCAAGGCGGGCCTCGGCCGTACCGCGCAGGAACTGCAGCAGCGTGGTGTCGGCGTGACCCGCGGGAAGCACGAACCGCCGGCCGTTCACGAACACCACGGGCTCTGTCGCCGAGGCTTCGCGAAAGAACGCGTTGAGTTCGTCGTCGTCCATTGCTTATTCGCAAACTACGAGGACGAGCAGTGCGGCTCGCGAATCAAGATTCAACGGACCCTATCAATCAAGCTACTGGAAAGACTCGAGTGGAGTACTGTGAATTCGAGTGTGCACTGTGTGATAGCAAGCTGAAGCTTGTGGCAGGAAAAGCTGATGTGACGTCCTTTTCAATGACGGTTCCGTTACATGATCTTTGCATGTGATGTTGACAACTTTTTTCGCATAGATTTGCCACACGTTATGGCCATAATAGATCTAGACCAAAACTCACCTGTATGCTGCTAGTTTTACGTAAACCTATTCGCTAACTTAATGAATTTGAATTTTTACTGTTCAACTGCTACGAATGAGAGAAACTCCATTTGTTGCTGACAACATTATATTATTTTATTTCATGGATGGTGGGGCATTTACTAGCTCAAAACGTAAAGCAAATCTGGTCAGTTCTAATCTACAGTGCAAGCTTCTTGATTCCAGGAAACGACGGCCGGATTGCAATGAGTTGATCGCCATAACCGACCGCATCCCCATCCTCCACCAGGAATTTGACCACCTCTCCAGCATTCTCCGACTGGGTTACACCAAGTGACACATGGCACCACATGGGAACAGGGGAGCACAAGAGGGCGTTGCTGTCATGAGAGGGCCATGAAAACACTGTAGAATTGGGAGAGCACAGCAGGCATGCTGTGGGAGAATCGCCTGATGGGGCACACACAAGACAATGAAACATTTCCAGGAGGGCCATACCTCGATAGCGAGTTGTGTGCCAAGCTGCTCTAGATAGCACACCACCTGCCCCTTCTTTATCTCCGAGCCCTGACAGAGGAAAGAAACAAACAGCAGCACATGACACACGAGAGCCAAATACGTTCTATGTGAAAACGGGTGCCATGTTACCAGTGTTACGAGTGTAAATCCATAGTACGTGGATGCAAGGCACATGCAACAGTGCCAACGCCCTGTAAGTTGCACCCAGAATGGCATGACGCACTTGGTCGCAACGCACACGCAACACTTCCCATTTAGCTGCCAACACTCCTCCAGATCCACGTCACTCTCCTTTGGGTCACATTCCTTCCCCAAAGCTCTCCCTTTCGACGCCTTCCCGTCTCTCAGCCTGATCTCATTGTCACGCTTTTGACCTCGTTGACCAGCTTGACCTCGTTGACCGGAGTTGACCAGCTTGACCTCGTTGACCAGTTTGACCTTCTCAACCAGCTCATTCTCACCTCGTTGACTAGAGGCTTGCCCTTCTTTCCCTTGACCTGCCGACCACGACGCATGATGCCCACCTGTCGAAAAGAGGGTTGAACGAAGGGGGAGAGAGGAGGGTGGATTGGGGAAGTTGGAGGAAGCACGTTGACTGAACAGGGAGCACGAGGAGAAGAATATGCACAACGAATTGAAGCGCTTCATCCACACCTGATTAGTTATAAGCCGCAGCAGGAGGCTCAGAAACAGGCTGCGAAGGAGCAACAGCACCAAAACAAAACAGCTACGACATTTGCCACTGGGTTTATCTCTCAACTCACCCGCGGCGAGGTCACGTATTGGAGCCCTTCATCCACGCCTGCCTCGCTCTCCTCCGCAGCAACAGGCACATCAACAGGCGCAGGAGGGGCAGCGGCAGCAGCCAGGGACGCGGGAGAAAGCGAGTCTAGAAAAAGCTAAGCCACTTTTCCACTGGCTTTGGTCGTCAACTCACCCGCGGCGAGGTCACGTATTGAAGCCCTTCGTCCACGCCAGCCTCGCTCTCATCCGCAGCAGGAGGCGCAGCAACAGGCGCAGGAGTAGCCGCGGCAGCAGTCAGAGATGCGGGCGAAAGCGAGTCGAACATGGGGGGAAGGGGGGCGTGCGGCGCATAGGCTTGCGCCTGCGCGGCCTTGACCCCGCCCACGTCCCTCCGCACGTGTAGCTCCATCTTGCCGATCTAATGGATTCCGGCAGGTGGGACATGGGAAGATGGAAACGAGCAAGGTGTGGCATCTGTTGGCATGAAGAAGCCAGCGAAAAAAGGACACATCTGACGTGGTAGAAAGGCTTTATCGAACTGAAATAAAGCGCGTTAGACTTCATTGGATTGCTTGTTTCTTCCTTCTTTTTTCCATTCTGTGAAACGTACCTTGATGCTGAGCTCGGCGATCTTGGTCTCGTCACAGAGGTCCATCAGCAGCGAAGTGAGTGACTTTTGAGACCACTCAAAAGTCACCTCGTTACAATGGACTTGAGTAGACGTGTTCTCTTCGTTGGTCGTACCTTGATTCTGAGCTCGGCGATCTTGGTCTCGTCACAGAGTTCCATCAGCAGCGACTGGATCTGAGGGCGCCACGGCCGGGGAAGATGGAAGGGGGGGGGGGGAGAGAAGGACGAAGAAATGAAAGAACTTATTTACTCGTAACTTGGAGCAGGAAGCATCAGCGGGTCTTGTCGCAGATCCCCAGCAGCAGCGCCTGGACGCTGCAGTCGTCATGCCGGGGGAATGAAGAAGTGAATGACAGGATTCAGAGCCTTCAAAGTCGAGCAAGGAAGTCATCAGTGGTGTCACTTGTACCGCTGCATCATACCTCTGCTGGCAAATATAACAAAGAGTACAGGAAAACAGAATCGCACGCCCAGAAACGCACCTCGAAGGCACTTGGAACAGGGACGTCATCACGGGTGCTCTCCTCCTCCTCGTCCTTGTCCTGTTGAGTCTTGACCTTACCCTCTTTGTTATCTCCTTGTGCAACTGTAACGTGAGCCAGAACGGCCGATGGACAAAGGAGCAGGTAGAAGGTATATCTGACTGACCGTCAATTTAAAAGGCTTAGAGGTCTGTACTAGCACTTTGTCGTCCTAGAATCTGAGTGACTTCTCACAACGTCCGATTCAATAACTCGTAAACCAAAAAAACTTAGTAGCTAGAAGCGTAGCACTGCTTTCCCGGCTCAGACTCTGACGATCTTACAATTTTTGTGTCGACTAAAAATTCGACTTATAACACCCGGGTCAGACTGGAGATCTTACGCCGGTCAGTGGCGATCGCGTGCCTTCTCTGGGTCGAGGCTCTCCGCGACGACGCAGCGAGTCGCAGAGGCGAGGCCGCTGAGATTCTCGAAGACAACGATTGCGAAAGGGAGCTCGCGGGTTGCGAAGATGACGTGGATGCTGATGCAGCGACGCGCGCTACGGCCGTGGCAACTGCTCGGGCAAAATGGGGGAAACCAGAGTTCCTTTGAGCAGGGCTCGATCTATTTGACTTCACATCATTACAATTCCGCGCAATATTGACACGAACGTCGTAGATGGAAACAGCACAAAAAACCAAGAGCACCTTGAGAGGAGGTGGTGAGACCAGCCATGTTCTCTTCAGTCTTGGCTGATTCAGGCAAGCTTAGGAAGAAGCAAGTCAACTAACGCTCTGATTAGGAGCTTTGGCTTCAGGGCTCGACAGGAGGAGTATGGACGACAATGAAAACGGCTTTCCTCTCCCTCGGTTTCGCCGAAGGAACTCTGACGCCTAGTCACGGCTGTCCGATGACTGATCTGTATGAAATGGATCTGTCCGATGAACGGGCATGGTGGTGGCATAGATCACAATTCACGATTTGGGAACTCGAGAAGGTATGGCTGGCTGGGGCGGGAGGTCATTCTCATCGATCCCTGCCTTGTGACTGCTGCATGCTGCTGGTGATGCGGTTGGGGTAATTCAACCGAAATTGCATCTCCCTTGGTTTCATCTCATGACGAGGATCAATGTCTACGTCAGATCGAACGGCCTTGAGAAACTGTCGGGTCAGCCGACGCTTCGTATCGACGCTCGATGGCTGTTGATTCGCTGACGCCAGGGAAGAGTTATGGTGAGATGGCATGAAACAACGGTGAAAGTGAACAAGGCCAGAACACGTGGAAGGACAGCCACAAGATGCAGCGGTCCAACCTCAATGTCGCCTCGAACTGATCAATACATTGGAGGTTGAGCGGCGCGGTCGCTGCTCAAATGCTGGAAGAAAACGATAAGATGCACGGCGCGGGTGCTTAGTGGCCAGGATTGTCTGGTGATGTGGCGTTGTCTGCGTTTGGGACAGCTCCGCTGAATGCCGAGTTACCCAATCAAAATGCGTTCAATACGAAACTTATAGAAACAGCCCACCTTCCACGAAATGTTCATGGGATGTGAGTCAGCTTCGGTATTCCAAGCTGGCACTGTGACAGGAAAAAATACAGCAGCAATGAGGTGTACTTCATAGGAATGTTTGGCTCCGATAGCTCTTGTGGTTTCGACTTCTGCTCTCCTAGTCCTGGATTTCTAGATGACAGCCTAACTAAGATGAGGTTTCGTTAGGAACCGTAATCTAACCCATGTAGTCAAGTGACAGTCCAACCCACATCGTAGACAGCCTAACGGATAGTCTTTGCTTCTGAAAACAGTCTAACCCAGATTAGCATTGTGGATCTTTATCCTGCGGCTGCTTGGTTATGCAGAGGTCACCAGCGAGCAGCTAGGCTTTTTCCAGCTCTGACAGGCTCGCTGATGTCTCATTTTTTAAGCAACATCAAATTCGTCGACAGCTCAAGGCGTTCTTACACTGGACTAAGTCTTTATCGCAAGTTGATGCGGATAGAGCGGCCTCACTTTCAACCAGGCTAAATGTTCTGACCTCTGAACAGGCTCAATCATTCACCAGGCTCAGGTTACTGAGCAGCTTCAAGCAACGTGCTCATTTTATCTACCGTGCATTATGCTGATAGTTCAAGCAAGGTCTATTGACAGCCTCAATCATCAACGCGTTCTCTAGCCCAGCTCCGAAGCGTGGCTCAGATTCGGAGCTGGATTATAAATAGTGGATGTTGCGAGCTGGATGACACGTTGAGTGGCTGGCGTAAACATGTGACGTCGCAGGATTACTGCTGCATTGACAAGTCGACATCTTGGCCGAATTCGAGTCGACTCACACGTCGGATTGATGTCGACTTTTAGAAACGGCCATTAAATTTACGAGAAGTGGCCGGATTATGCGAGCTCGTCGAGAATATTTGCGACCGTTGCAACCTTGTTACTTTCGCCAAAACCGGCCAGTCGGATTACGACGATTTCGAATCTGACACACCCTTAAAACGAGGGTCTAGATTTGACAAGCGGAGGTTCAGAAGTTTTTGTTCTGAACCAGGCTTGCCAGCGCGAAGGTGTTGGCTGGCGAAAATCTGGAATTCGTGCGGGGAATTTTCGACCGCAGTAACTGGTCGCCAGGGTTTAGGGGTTCGGGTGGCAAATGTGCACCGTCGCTTTAAAGCGACGGTGCACATTTGCCACCCGAAACCCTAAACCCTGGTGAGCTGTTACTGCAGAAGATAAGTCTCCGCACGAAATCCAGGTTTTCGCCTGCCAACACTTTCGCGCTGGCAAGCCTGGTTCAAAAAAAAATTCTGAACCTCCCGCTGGCAAATCTAGACCCTCGTTTTAATACTGTCCGTTCAGGAAAAATGCTGATATTTTTTTTTTTTCTAGATTCAAGCAAGAAACTTGGATAGACAGTTCTTCACATTCTCTTCAGCGCTCTTTCAAAAGATGGGGTTGCAGCAATACTTCATGCACCAAGGTTGTCCACGGCAAAAAAATGAGATGGTACACTGAAGTAAGCAACACTTCTACCACACATGAAGATTGCTCGAAGCAAGCATCCATGAATGGGTACAGTGGTACAGCTGACCTGAACTGCATAAATGCAACATTATTTAGAGGACCTGCTTGTCCACAGACTCTAAGCAGGAGTTTGATCCCATAAGAGGTGGTGACTCCCCTTCACCCAAGGAAAACGAAGGATAAAACGTAGGACTGTCTGTAACCCCATCCATATCCTGCTTGAACGTCAGGACAGGTGTTGGAATTCCATCCGTACAGCAGCCCTGATCTTGCTGCTCTTCATTTGTAGTGTGCGCCTGACATTCAGGCAGACGTTGTTGAGGCTCCGAGAGTTGCTGGCTGGGACCTAGCGAATGTGAGTGGCTAGGCAATGGGTTAGGTGTTAGTTGTTGCTCTTCTTCTAGTACCCTCCAAGCCTCCTCAAGATCATGCTGTTGCTGTGCCCCAGAAAAAGGAGTTTGCTGCTGCTGCTGCTGTTCCTGAGACCACTCCTGCTGCTGCTGTTCCATGTACCGTAGCTCTAGCAGTGATTGGGAGCTTTGATCTCCCCCACGGGGAAAGGTTGCTCTGGTCTCCAGCATCTGCTGATGCTGATGTTGCTGAACCCATTCCCCTTGCTGCTGTTGCTGTTGAAATGGCTCTAGCTGATACCCAGGTTGCTCCTCATGCTGTTGCTGATTTGAATTCCCGCCCGCTGAATTGTTACTTGATGCGCACACCATCATGCCATCTGATGGCATAGTTCTAGCAGAGAAACCTGATGGACATTGAACAGCTCGTGAAGTAAGTGCTCCTGCTGCCATGACTCCTGACGACGTGGCTTCTGATGACACGGCTTGCAGTGGCATGGCTCCTGATGAAGTGGCTATTGAAACCATGTCACCTGATGGCACATAATATGACGGTAACGAACCTGTTAGTACTTGCTGTGATTGGGCTCCAGGATATGGTGAAATGCCATGCATGGGCTTGGGAATGTGCTGCGACAGCTGATTCACGCATTGCAGTTGCTGCGAGCCAGACTGAAAGGGCTGTGGTTCTGTGATAGGATGGAAGGGATGTGTCCTGTTCTCCAAATGATGTTGCTCCTGATGAACTGCACTCTCCCTCACATCCCCCATCTGCATATCTTGCCCTCCAGGAATCAGCGACGGCATGGAAACAGGGGGTATGCTGCTGGGAGCTGACAGGGAGGCGGATGACGCGTGGTGGTGAAATGACTTTTCAATCGACTCGAAAGTGGATTGACCAGGTGATGAACCTGATGGAGGGTGGTGCTGGTGCTGGTGGTGGTGGTGGTGGTTCACGTGCTGGCACGTGCACGAAGCGTGCAACAGAGTGCTGTTGGGGTTTTCCGGATGCAATTCTTGCTGCGGCTGCTGCTCCTGCTGTTGGTGCTGCTGGTGCTGTTGTTGTTGCTCCTGTTGCTCCTGATGCTGCTGATGGTGCTGCTGGTGGTGGTGGTGCTGCTGCTGCTGCTGCTGCTCCTGCTGGTGCTGGTGGTAATGTTGTTCGTGGTGCTGCTGGCTATGAAGGGACTCATGGTTGTTACTCTGAAGACAGTTGTTGGGAGCAGTGGCATAGAGCTGCTGGTGTTGTCCCTGAGGGAATGAGTGCTGAAACTGACAGTGCACTTGCATCTGCACCAGTCCCTGCTGCTCATGTTGCGCCTGCCTGTGCTGCTGCTGCTGTTGCTGCTGCTCCTGCTGGTGCTGAAACCGTTCATCTAGACCTTGCGCCCCCCGCAACCCATCCATCCTCTCCACACCACCCATCATATTCCCTCCTCCCTGCACCAACCCATCCTGATCCGGAACCCCTTCCACATTCCCTCCTCGACTCCCGTCGAACGAGACCCTGCTATGAGGTGACTTTTGAGCCGACTCAAATGATACCTCCACACCACTCATCACATTCCCGCCTCCCTGCCCCAACCCATCCTGACCCACACTCCCTCCTTGACTCACATCAAGCAAGAACCTGCTCTGACACGGAGGAAACGCACCACAGGTTTGGGTTGACGAGTTACGTTCTAATCTGTGTCGCTGCAGGGAGGGCGCATCTGGGGGAGGCCACGAGTGGGATCCTGACAGTGCAGCAGGTGGGGACTGACTGACGCACTGTAGAGGCGTGATGGGGCGTGTGAGAGGCGGAATGGAAAGGAGCAGGGGCGACTGCTGATTTGAGTCGGTGGAACAGTGTGCCGGGCTGTTAAGTGCGGGGCTGCTAAGTGGCCTGTGTGGTTGAAAGGGCAGATGTGAAATGTTTATCGGGTGTTTGTGGGGCAAGGTTGGAATACGCAAGGGAAGCATTCTTGTTGCATGGTCGAGAAACGGACGCTTCGCCTCTCTTTTGGTTTCGTCTTCTCGCTGCTCCTGCTGCTGCTGCTGCTGCTGCTGCTGCTGCTGCTGCTGCTGCTGCTGCTGCTGCTGCTGCTGCTGCTGCTGCTGCTGAAAATGATGTGGAGAATTATGTTTTAGCTGGTGTTGGTGATGGTAGTTCTGCTGCTGCTGATTTTTCGACAGGTGCTGTTGTAGCTGCTGCTGCTGCTGCTGCTGCTGCTGTTGCAATCGTGGTGCTTGAGGCTGGTGCTCCCACGGTTGCTGCTGCTGCTGCTGCCAGGACCATTGTTGCTGCTGCCATGGCTCTTGCGACACCTTGAGTTCTTGATACTGACGAGACAGGCATGCACCCTCCTCGCTGCACTGCTGCCCTTTCTGCTGTGATTGCTGCTGCACTTGCCGCCCTGGTTGTTGCTGTGGCTGTTGCGGCGACAGTTGCAGGTGATGAATAAGAGACTGATTGTATGTTGCTGGAATCAGTTCACCCCATTGTTGATTCTGATGCTCTTGTCGCTGTTGATGCTGCTGGTGCTGTTGATCCGACTGCTGCAGCCCATGTTGGTCCGGGTGATGCCCTTGTTGCGGGTCCACCTGAGAATACCCCTGAGCCTGATTCTGTTGGAACGCCAGTTGCTGCTGGTGACCCCCAAAGGGCGGCAGCTGCATTTTCTCCTGGCCATGCACCTGAAAGGCATGCTGAGTATGTTGCGGCGGCTGTTGCACGTGTGGCTGCTGCTGTTGCTGCTGGTGCGGCTGCTGCTGTTGCTGGTGCAGCGGCTGCTGCTGTTGTTCAGTGTGCATTTGATTGTGCTGATTGTGCTGCTGTGTTTGTGTGAACACCAAATACTGCTGATGCTGATGCACACCTGGTGCGTTGGGTTGCTGCTGTTCTTGCTGTTGTGGCTGCTGCTGCTGCTGCGGCTGTGACGGTAGCTGCCATGACAGCTGCTGTTGTTGCTGCTGCAGGTGTGGAGCTTGCGGTTGTTGCTGCTGCCACTGCTGCTGCTGCTGCTGCTGCTGCTGCGATTGTTGCTGCTGCCACTGCTGCTGCTGCTGCTGCTGCTGCTGCTGCTCCTGCTGCTGCTGCTGCTGCTGCTGCTGCTGCTGCTGCTGCTGCTGCTGCTGCTGCTGCTGCTGCTGCTGCTGCTGCTGCGATTGTTGCTGCTGCCACTGCTGCTGCTGCTGCTGCTGCTGTTGCTGCTGCCGCTGCTGCTGCTGCGATTGTTGCTGCTGCCACTGCTGCTGCTGCTGCTGCTGCTGCTGCGATTGTTGCTGCTGCCACTGCTGCTGCTGCTGCTGCTGCTGTTGCTGCTGCCGCTGCTGCTGCTGCTGCTGCGGCTGCTGCTGCCACTGCTGCTGCTGCTGCTGCTGCTGTTGCTGCTGCTGCTGCTGCTGCTGCTGCTGCTGCTGCTGCTGCTGCTGCTGCTGCTGCTGTTGTTGCTGCTGCCGCTGCTGCTGCTGCTGCGGCTGCTGTTGTTGTTCTTGCCGCTCCTGTTTTTGCTGCTGGTATGGCATAGGAGGAACCATTGGCTGAAGCTGCTGCTGCGGCTGCTGTTGAGAAATTTGCGACACCTGTTGTTGTTGTGCCTGCCATCGTGGCTCACCCCCACTCCACGCCCCTTCCTCCATCTTCACCCCCCTCATGAGCCCGCTCGCCTCTACACTACTTGCTCCTGTTGCCGATGCTCCCCCTGCTGACGCTGGTGCTGATGCTCCCGCTGCTGCTGCTGCAGTCGCTGCTGCCGCTCCAGGTCCCATGATTACTGCTTCTGCTGCATTCAAGCTCACTCCTGGCCTCAGCACCACTGCACCTGGAGTCATAGTAGCCGCCACTGACGAACCCCCTCCCAGCGTCTCCCTTCCAGGAACAGTACCCCGTGCTTCTGGCACTGTATCTGGCGCCCCAGCTGCATTCCAAGGGACTGCCACCCCTCCTGGGCTGGCAAATGCTGCCGCCCCTCCTGGGCTGCTAAATGCTGCCGCCCCTCCTAAGCTGGGAAAAGCCGGCGCTGCCGCCCCTCCTGGGCTGGCAAATGCTGGCGCCGCTCCTGCGCTCGCAAATGCTGCCATCCCTCCTCCTCCTACCACTCCGCTTGCCGCTCCTCCTGCCACCCCACTTGCCACTCCCCCTGACGTGCTTGCTCCTCCGACACCTTCCACCACATTCCCCTGCCCGAACAGGTTTCCGTTTCGGACTGACCGATCCACACCAGGAGAAAATCCGGAATCCCCAGGCAGGAGTGGGGTTCGGATGGGGGCAGAGGGGGCAGGAGAGGGGGAGATTGGAGAGGCGGCCATGGGGTGATTGTGTTCGTGAAGGTACGTCACTTCAAAGGAAACCGGACCTGCACCAGCACTGCCGTCTAGACTGAACTGCCAGTCTACCTGCTTCTTTGCCGGACACGGCTCAAAATGGCACATCCCACCGCCGCCGCTTCCGCCGCCGCCGCCGCCACTGCTCGCGCTCTTCTCTCCGCTCCCCCCGCCGCTGCTGCTCTTAGTCAAGGCGGGCCGGGTCATGGGCGGTCCGCTCGCGCCGCTTGCGCTGGTCTTATTCCGGTTGCCGCTGATGGGAGTGCCGCCGCTGCTGGGGGTGCTCTTGCAGGGAGTGCTTTTACTGGGCGTGCTGCTGCCGGGAGTGCTTCTAGCGCCAGCGGAAGCAGCCTCGGATGGCGGTGGTGGGGTAACGGGCCTGTCTTGGTCAGGTGTTATCTCCATGCCTGCAGATGTACCTGACCCAGGTGGCCCGGTGGATCCAAGTGGCCCGGTGGATCCAAGTGGCCCGGTGGATCCAAGTGGTACGGATCCGGGCGGCCCGGATCCAGATGGCCCTGTCCCAGATGGGCTTGACCCAGGTGCTGACCCAGGCGCTCCTGAGCCGGATCCAGCTGCCACTGATTCAGATGCTGCCACAGGCCCGGCCTGTACAGATCCCGTCGCTAATGCACCCGAGGGCACTGCTGCTAATTCTGCTGCTTCTCCTCCTACTCCTGCTCCTGCTGCTCCTCCTGCTGCTGGTCCCAAAGTTTCCGCTGACGTCGTTCGAAGCATTGAGCTAGCGCACTTGAAGTATGACCTGGGGAAGGCAGCAGGTGGGAATGGGGGAGAATGGGGTGAAATGGGGGGGAAAGGGGGTTGTAAAGGCGGAGGGAGGGTGGCATATTGGGGAGGAGACACATCCAAAGACAGATCAAGAGGAAAGGCCAGCCATTCCCCCCCCCCCCCCTCCGACCCATTTCTTTCTCTTTCATTCCCGGCCCCCCCCCCCTCGACTTTCCACATTTCCTCCCCTCCTCTCCCCATTCTACCCTCCCAAATCCGCCTTTCTACCTCCCCCCTTCATCCGCACACTATCGCCTGCCTGCTTCTGCTCACCAACCACCTGATCTTCAAAATATAGAGAGATATGTTTTTATGTCCGCAAAGGAAAATATTTGCCTCTCCACCCAGCGGATCTTCCGTTTTACATGTGTCTTTTGACGCCTTCACTTGTCATCCTACTAATCCACCCACCTAATCTTCGAGTTTCCGCTGCGCGCAAGCCGCTTCTCCCCGTATTTCAGCCAGCAATACCCGTCGTCGGGCAGGGCTCCTTGGGGAATGCGCCGCCGGAGCGCAGCCGCCGCCGCCGCCGCGGACAGAGGCGGGGCGCCGCCGACCGCCGCCGCCGGCACTCCAGGCGGCGTTGTGAATCCGTTCGCCGCGGCCGGCACGGGGACGCCGCCGGGTCGTCCGTCTGCAGCGGCCCCGCAATTCGGTGGCAATGGCGGCGGCGTCACTGACTGCCGCCGGTCAACGCCGAACGAGCCGCCAACCGCCATGAGTTGGCTATTGCTTCTATTATTTGTGGAAGAAGGTACCACAGGAGACACGGTGGTATCGTTAGTACTTTTACTACAACTATTGATGCTCCCAACGTTCCAATGTGGAATAGTAGCTGCCTGGGGCGCTGTGAACGATGCAGGGCGACTCGTAGTGCTAGCTGTGGGAGATACACTGTCCGGCGCGGGAGCTTTAGAAGGTACGCCGCAAAACCTGCCGCTAAATGCGGCGTGCGCAGTAGCGGCGGCTATGGCGGCATCTGACGTCACGTGAGTGTCCTGATCTGCCACGCGTGGCATCATGGTAACGGCATCATCTGTTTTTGCAAGCCGTTCTGCTAGCGTGCATGCGGCGGCACTGAAACTACTACGAGAACTAATACCACTATGGATCTGAATATATTTTAGGAACTTCGTTTCTGCGCAAGATTGGGTTCGCGAGTTCCCTGTGCGTGCATCCCTCGTAAACTGCTGAAAACTGCCGATACACGTTATGTTACCGCGTGAATTCCCGGGCGGCATTCGCGTGTCGCCACAGCCTGGCACATCACTGCTCGGACTTCAACTGCTCAGGGGTGCCGCGTATTGCGAGAAAAGCCGACAGAAGTAAGACTTTGCGTCAAAATGCTCTCACTAGGCCTAGCCATGCCCATACCCATAGGACATCATCCTGTGGAAACTATGTCGAAGTTGAGTTTGTTACAAACAACACTGAGGCCGCGGGGCCCCACAAGCGGGAGCGGCCTTGCAGTGGGTCGTCGTTGTAGTTCGTGAAGCGCCATGCCCTCTGCGGAAGGTGCCATTGTTGGCGACGAGGGTCGCGCAGGCGTCGACGCGGCATAATCAGAGGTACACCCTCTTTCGCGCCACACTGACATTCGGCATTCTGATGGGCCGGTTTTACTGACATCAATGCACCAAAAATAGTCCCAGAACATACAGTATAAGCACACTTGCCGTACTCAACCGTACGAAACAACAAAGTAACTTTCTGAAACCGTTGTGTACCGTTTGTCCGAAGTGCATTTGCCTGCCAATACCTGAGGTTCCGTTGCAAGCACCAGACCGCTAGGGTCTAATCACACGTTCGCACTGTAGCCAGGGCTTCCGATTGTCAGAGTGCCGGAGAAGAGGGTGTACTGTCATGCTTTACATCAGATCCTATGGAGGGATCAATGTGGAGGAACTGGCCCGCCCGCATGAGAACTGAGTCCCTGAGGCTCGCCATGCCAACCACAACACCTAGCCATTCACAATTTCACGCCCTGCAACTTGTTTCGGAAAGCACCCTGAACCTGATTTCGGCTTGACCAATGAACCCCCCGAATCTGAAGGTTTTAACGATTCAGACAAGTGTCGAGATATTTAATAAACTCCCGCACTCATACCGCAGCGAATCGACCATAGTTTTTATTGCGACCCCTACTGATCTCCTCTAACTCGTCTGAGAACTCTGAAACGTACCCTCTTTTAAACGAAAGCATTCATACCAGCCCTTCAATATCGGAAAACTCAGATATATTTACACAGGAGATGAAATTGGCCATAGTGAAGTTGTACTGTAAGATGGCAGGACAGAGATGATGCCTCTCGCCCCAATGGGAACTCTGGATTGGAGGATTTTGGTACACAAGATGCTCAACCTCGACGCACGAATGTTCATTTTCATTTTAGAAAATTTGCACCTGTGTTTTTTAGACCGGCCAGTGGCACCCACCTTACAAAGCAAGTCACAACGATTATGAACCAATGGTAACGAAGATACTGACGTCAAACTGAAGAGATTAATGTCAAAATGTCAACGGATAAGTTCAATTTTTTATAAGCCCTTTTTTGCTACCTGCCAATTGAAAAAAATCTATGCAAAATGCAAGAATCACTTCAGCGCCCTCTTAAAATGGCAAAATTGAGGGGTTCAAACGAGCATCAGGTGCATGCTAAAGAAACAAAACGAAGCCTTTTTAACAAATATTTTTATCCTGTTATTAAGCATCAGGTGTACTTGTATGCTATGTTTTATTTTCGTTTTATAATCACAAAACTGAAGCTCTGGTCAGGAATTGGGTGGAAGCGGAAGAGAGAGTGGTGTCCGAAGGGGATGCGGTTGTTATATTATTTTCAGAAGGTAGATTCACACACGCAGAGTGCTTTATTTAAGTAGCCCTGAAATACCGATGACATGATTTTGCCGGTTTCATACAAAGGCTGTAGAATCACTTTGCGAACGCTCGAACGGACTCCTCTTCATTGCTGTAGGAAAAACTAAGCTGGTACTGCACAGTAGGAAATCCGAATTTGAAACTTGAACTCCAGGATGGCCTACAGCTGATTACACCCAAGAAAAGCTCCCCATCCAGCCTCACAGGTTATTGCCTGCCAGCCCTACCCGAAAGTACTGTTGAAGTCAAAGTTTTACAGTCCGCGTTGTCAAAGTCACGACAGGTGCCGTGAAATGCGCCAGCTGGATTGCGAATCCGAGGAATGTCAAAAATCGTGACACCCATTTTGCTACTGTAGTTGCCACATACAGCCGTCGTCTTCCAGTCCGAAAACGAACTCGGCTTGTGCATAAGGGCGGGTCCAGCGCGTTCGTTTTCAGTTCATCCGCTGTGGCGCAAGACGGTTCCAGACGGTGCACAGAAGTTTTCAAAAATCACCGTTTTGAACCGTGACATAACAGGAGTAACCGCACAGAACGAAGGAAGAACGAACGCGCTGGACCCGCCCTGACCATGCTTGGGGCAATTCTGCCCGCATCCCTCCCCACCACACAAACGCGTGGGGCAGAGATTACCCGTAACTTTTTAACTTGATACACTTTTTGCGCGTTAGAGTCACCCACTGTTTCTTCGTGCAGAGTGCGCTAAAGTGATTCTTGCATTTTGCAAAGATCTCGTCAATTTGCAGCTAGCAAAATACACAAGATGCCCAAACCCTGCACGCGAATTTGCCCTGCCCACCATGGAAACTCTGCACCCGTGTATTAGGGTACCAGCCAGTTGCACCCCATTTACAAGCACCTCGAGCAATACGAGCAAAAAAAACCGAAGTTTGACAGAAGAGACCCATGTCAAACGGTCAACAGCGAGTTACAAAATCTTTTAAAAGCCCTTTTTGCTAAGTGAAATTTGGCGAAAGCTTAGCGAAATGCAAGAATCAGCCCTGTTCACAAAGCAACTTTGGGTTAGTCAAACTGACATTGTGTGTATGATTCGTCAGTGCTAAAAAAAAGTTGTAACTTATACGTTGACATTTTGACTTCAGCCTTTTATTTTTACTTCTGTTTCTTTGTTACTATTGGTTCAGATGCACAGCAACTTGCGCGGAATGCTTATAACGTGGGTGCAACTGGCTGGTTAAAAAAACACGGGTGCAGGCTTTCCATCCTTTTCAGGGAAAATTCGCGTGTACCGGTTGAGCATCATGTGCACAGGGGGATTGCCTAACAATGTTGGCCCCAGCGACCTCACCAACGCCTTTGCTGCTGACCGTGTACGTGTACACCGAAACACTGATATTCCACCCCTACTCCATCTTTCATTTTGATCCTGTTTCGCCAACGTGCCATCCAAGGGGAAATTGGGCCGGAACGTAGTACAGTCCCCAAATTTTGGGTATCCACGCGTGTTTTGCATAGGCAAAAAAAATTGGGTGTTTTGTCGTGGGCGTGTAATCTGTGGTCCTTGGCCAGTGAATGTCGACCTGTGATTTTGTCGACAGTGCGTTTAAATGAAAAATTGAGAGGTTTTCCGGGCATCACGTGTACTCCCTCTCCCCCTCCTCTCTCCCCCACCACCCATTCTCCCCAAACACCCCGCAAATCTCCTTTCCACCACCTACCTCAAGGGGAAACGACGACAAAAGTCTGGAGCGAGTGTTCCCGCCTACCTCCTAGACAAACTACGCATCGGCATGGAAATCTGTGGCAGGAGGTCGTGTTTCATAGTCGCCATCAAACTCGCGACAAACAGTCGCAACTACGAATGGAAAAACCCGTATTTTCCAAAACCTCGTTTTGTCACGGTGCGACGGTAAGCCTTTAAACCGTTCAACATCGTGTTTAACCGTCCTGAGCCACGATACAATAACTGTAAACATGTCAGAAACGTACAACCTGACGGCGCCCTATAGCGTGATCGGCTTGAGTAACACTGTAACCAAGTTCCGAGAATCGTATCGAGCCAGTTTCGAGGAAGCGCTACAGTACGCCATTGGGATCAATGGATGGTGTCTGGTCCAAGCTCGTGTCGGCTGTATGAAAGCAGTGACAAACCAGTACACAGCATTTCACTAACCATTTTACAGAACACAGCTCCGCACGCTTCATTTTACTGTAGTCAGGATCTGCACAGCCAGAGTTTTGCACGAGAACTGTTGATGCCCCCCAGCCCATGCCCGAGCCTGGAGTACACCCTCGCTCTCATCACTCTCACCGGCGGAAGCACTGGCTACAGTGTTTAGCGGGCTGGTGCGATAACTCTGTTGCGGGCAAAGTCGCGCGAGGTGTCGACGCATGCCTTGGGCAGTAAAAAACTGTTGGCGCTGAATAACCGTCCCAACCGTTTTGAAAACAACAGTACCGTTCTATAAAGTTTGAAAACTTGACTGACTGCATTAGGTGAAACTGTCACTATAACGCATGTGATAGGACCTTCTTTGGTCCGTTGCGGCTACACAAAGCGTTACGGTCGGTATAACATTTGCCAGTCTATCGAGAATGAAGGTGTACTATAAATCCGTAAGTTGGGGAATCATATTTTCAACCAATGGGGAATCATATGCCCCTTGGTTCCCAAAAAACCGAACAAGCTGGTGGCGGCAGCTGTGCCTCAACAAGCGAGGCAGCTTCCAAGAAAAAGCCGACAAGCGTTGCAATAAAGTTCAGCACAGTTGCGCATGTTGCATCGCTGTCTTCTGTCACCGCTTTCGAGCGCTCCACACACCCAGCAAATCCCTCATTTTCCACGTCCACGAAGCTTGACGTAAATTTGTCGCGGTTCCAAGAGCAAGTGAAAAACGGCATATCAGCAGCAGAACACGATAAATGTGAAGGGTGCCGTTAGAACAAGATGATGATTTATCCCAGTCATTGAAACATATTTATCACTCCACCGTAATTGTTGTAACTTGTAACATCACTATGTGGGCGGCGGCTGGGGCTGCTGCGGCGGCGGCACAACATTTAATCCCCCAACCAGATTCTGAATTGCACCCAACACACCCGATATGTTGCTCGGATCAAGCGGTAGATTGTCAAGCGAGATATTGTATGTCGCTTGGCCGGAGGCTTGGTCGGGGGTGAAGGACTGAGAGCCTGACGATCCACCCCAACCAGCCCCGGCAGGCATACCCACACCAGGCATACCGGCACCAGGCATGCCCATACCAGGCACACCCATACCAGGCACTCCCATGCCTGGCATTCCCATTCCAGGCATGGGGAAACCACCGAAATGCATCCCTCCGTGGAAGGCAAAGGGAGGAGGGGGTGTGTGGTGGTGGTGTGGTGGGTGGGGGTGGTGATGATGCTGGTCGTGCTGGTGCTGGTGATGATGGTGCGGATCCTGTGGGGAAAGGGATGGAGTGGAGGGGGAAAGGGGAGAGATTGGGAGGGGGTTGGATAAGTAGGGCAATTGCGGTGCGCTGCTCGTGCTGGTGATGATGGTGGGGATCCTGTCGGGAAAGGGATGGGGGTGGGAGGGGGAAAGGGAGAGAGGAGGAGGAGGAAAGCAGGGGGGAATCAGATGGGGGTTGGAGAATACAGACAAATGAGGCATTTCAAATTTTCTGCTCGTGCTGGTGCTGGTCTTGCTGTGGCGGGTGGGTGGGATGGTGGCGATGTTGCTCGTGTTGGTGCTGGTGACGGAAATGAAAGGACGATGAAAGGAAAACCAAGAAAAGAGAAAGGAGGATGAAAGGAAAACCAAGAAAAGAGAAAGGAGGATGAAAGGACGACAAATGGGGGATCAAGTTTGGGGTGAGCAGTCATACATGATGGGAGCAGTCATACATGATGGGAGCAGTCATACATGATGGGAGCAGTCATACATGATGGGAGCAGTCATACATGATGGGAGCAGTCATACATGATGGGAGCAGTCATACATGATGGGAGCAGTCATACATGATGGGAGCAGTCATACATGATGGGAGCAGTCATACATGATGGGAGCAGCCATACATGATGGGAGCAGTCATACATGATGGGAGCAGCCATACATGATGGGAGCAGTCATACATGATGGGAGCAGTCATACATGATGGGAGCAGTCATACATGATGGGAGCAGTCATACATGATGGGAGCAGTCATACATGATGGGAGCAGTCATACATGATGGGAGCAGCACGCGCCACGCCTCTGCTCGTCAAGCTTCCTCTTGGCTGCCTGAAAGTGGCAGCAAGGTTGAAAAAGGGCAATGACAGGAAGAAACATGAAGGTGGGGGAAAGGTAGAACGGACGAGGTGGCGATCACTTTTGAGAATTTTCAAAAGTGATTTCAACATGAAGGTGAGGGGAAGGTAGAACGGATGAGGTGGCGTGTCAAAAGGGAGCGCGAGCGAGATCGTGACTCAGAAATTCCGGGGAGGCAAGATAGTGACTCCAACGGTTGACAATCGCAGGCAGGCTGTTCGTTCTGTAAGAATGAAGTCTGATTGTGCAATGCAGTCTGATTGTTCGTTCTGGAGAATGAAGGCAAGAGTGTGCAATGCAGCTGAGAATTGAGGGGTAAGCCGGGCGGCTCACTTTGGGGTAATTCTTGTGCGCTGCATTGGAGAAATCAAGGTGGCTTTTGAGTCGACTCAAAAGTCAGCTCACTTTGGGGTACTCCTTGTGGTACTGCATTGGAGAAATCAAGCTCTACAGCTGCAATGCAGTCCCCTGAGAACTGTGTTTTGAAATGTGAAAATCGCAAGCTAAGCCGGGTGGCCGAATGGCTCATTTTAAGGTACTGTCAGAATGTGATGGTTGTCTAGCCTGCAGTGGGGTACTTTATAGCGAATACAGCTCTTCTAGGGTTTGCTATATGTATCCCTATGCTTGTTAGTGAAAACCCTTCTTGCCTGTTTCTTCTTTCTGCCTAGTATTTCGACATGCTATCAGAGCAGGTCGACCCTCCTGGGTCGATCCTGTGGGTGGTCCCACCCGTTAGCTTCCGCTGCTACTCTGTGTGTCGCGCGCCCCGTGGTGCGCGACCGATTTTTCTTCCCGCCGTGCGCCCCGAGGCGCGCGGCGGTTTTCTGCCCCGTCTAGGGTTTAGGGTTTAGGGTTTAGGGTTTAGGGTTTAGGGTTCAAGCCCCCCCCCCCCCCCCCCCCCCCCCCCCCCCGTCGCCCGTCGCGTCGTCTCGCGGAGCCGCGCGCTGCCCCCCGCTGCCTCATCGCGACGCTCTGGGGAGCCGCGCGCGGCCCCCGCTATCTCGTCGCGACGCTCTGGGGAGCCGCGCGCGGCCCCCGCTACCCCGTCGCGACGCCCTGGGGAGCCGCGCGCGACCCCGCTGCTTCGTCGCGGCGCCCTGGGGAGCCGCGCGCGGCCCCCGCTGCCCCGCCGAGGCGCCCTGGGGAGCCGCGCCCCCTCCCCCTGGCTGCTGCCCGCGCACCGCCCCCCCCCCCCGCTGCTTCCTGTGTTAGGGTTTGGGGGTGGCGGGTGTGGGGGTGGCGGGTATGGGGGTGACGGGTGAGTGCGCCATCCCCTGCTCCTCCTCCTCCTCCGTCTCCCACTGCTGCAGCTGCCGCTCAGGGGGGTGGATGTGTTGGAGCCGTCAGGAGGGGGGTGGCGTGTGAGCGTTGCTAGTGGTTCAACAGGGGGTGTGTGATAGGGGTGTGGGACAGTTGGGGGAGGTTGACAGGAGGTAGCCGGTGTGACGTCTGCAGCGCCAGTAGCCCGGGGGTTGAGTACTCCGGTAGCCCAGCGAGCCTGCTGCGCCAGTCGCCCGTGGGTTTGTTGCTCCTGCAGCTTAGTGCGGAGCCAGTTACTCCTGTAGTCCGGAGGTTGAGTGCTCCGGTAGCCACTGTGCGCGCCGTTCCTGTTGCCCGAGTGTCTGTCGCCGTGTAGTCCGGGGCTCTGCGCCTGGTAGCGACAGTGCTGCGCGCTTCTGTTGCGCGTGTGTCTGCAACTTAAGTCGTTGCCTCCCATCTTCTTGCTCCCACAGTTTCTCCTCCTCCTCACTTGCCCTCTGTGATAGCCTCTAGCTTTGCTTGTATTTGTGAACCTACTGCTCTGCCTGCTTGTTGTGTTGATTGTACCCCACTTTGACTATGGGGGTGTGTCAGAATGTGATGGTTGTCTAGCCTGCAGTGGGGTACTCTATAGCGAGTACAACCCTTCTAGGGTTTGCTATATGTATCCCTATGCTTGTTAGTGAAAACCCTTCTTGCCTGTTTCTTCTTTCTGCCTAGTATTTTAACAGGTACTCCTTGTGGGCCGCATTGGAGAAATCGCGCTGCAGAAATCGCATCTGAGGGGCCTAAAAACTTGTCGGCACATACAGAAAACACATAGAATAATCTCTGAAGCTGGATTGCTGAGCTGAGCTCACCTTTAGGTTCTCCAAGGCTCACCTTTAGGTTCTCCAAGGCTCACCTTTAGGTTCTCCAAGGCTCACCTTTAGGTTCTCCTTGTGCGCTGCATTGGAAGGATCAAGCTCTAAAGCTGCAATGCGGACAGGGGGGCCGCAAGGGGGACGAGGAGTGAAATCTGAAATGCGCAGAAGCGAATCTGGATATGTGAAGAAGCGAATCTGGATATGTGAAGAAGCGAATCTGGATATGTGAAGAAGCGAATCTGGATATGTGAAGAAGCGAATCTGGATATGTGAAGAAGCGAATCTGGATATGTGAAGAAGCGAATCTGGGTGAGTCACAAACGAGCAGAAACCACCAAATGGAATGAAATGGTCTCCAGCGCACACACCTTTCTTAAAGCCTCACTTCCAGTCTACACCTGCACGCACACCTTTCTTAAAGCCCTCCTCGATCGCCTCCTGGTGTGGTCCCAGCGCCATGCACGCATGCCCCAGCCGGCTGTATGCCTTGCTGTACCTCGCATCCCCACTACCGCCCTTCTACTGTCCGCCTGCCACTCCCACCAACACACACTAACCTTTCTTAAAGCCCTCTTCAATTGCTTCATGGTGCCGTCCTAGCGCCATGCACGCATGCCCCAGCCAGCTGTATGCCTTGCTGTACCTCGCATCCCCACTACCGCCCTCCTACTGTCCGCCTGCCACTCCCACCAACACACACTAACCTTTCTTAAAGCCCTCTTCAATTGCTTCATGGTGCCGTCCCAGCGCCATGCACGCATGCCCCAGCCGGCTGTATGCCTTGCTGTACCTCGCATCCCCACTACCGCCCTCCTACTGTCCGCCTGCCACTCCCACCAACACACACTAACCTTTCTTAAAGCCCTCTTCAATTGCTTCATGGTGCCGTCCCAGCGCCATGCACGCATGCCCCAGCCGACTGTATGCCTTGCTGTACCTCGGATCCACTGCTACCGCCCTCCTGCTGTCCGCCGCAGCTTCCATGTAGTTTCCCAGCTGGTGCTGTGCCGCGGCCCTGCCATCGAATTCAGTACGAAGCAGCAAATGAGAAGACTTTTGAGTCGACTCAAGAGTCAATGAGAACTCTTTGATTCCTTCTAAGCTGACTTAAGGAAGAGAAGAGATGAGAAGGGACGGCACCACTTGGCACCAGTTGGCACCAGTTGGCACCAGTTGGCACCAGTTGTCAGGGTAGGAGGTACTGGTGCTACCACAGAGGGCGATTGCTCTGGAGTAGAGAGGTAGCAAGTCTTGAGTTGAGTTACAAGGGAAGGGAAGGGAAGGGAAGGGAAGGGAAGGGAAGGGAAGGGAAGGGAAGGGAAGGGAAGGGAAGGGAAGGGAAGGGAAGGGAAGGGAAGGGAAGGGAAGGGAAGGGAAGGGAAGGGAGAGCACCTGTTGGCATAGTAGATGGCGTTGGTGCCACCACAGAGGGCGATTGCTCTGGAATAGAGAGATAACGCCTCTTCGTAGTTATGGGCTGCCATGGCCGCATTGCCTGACGGAACGAGGATGGGCATGGGGCGGCATGGGATGAGTGGGTGGGTGATGGGTGGCGGCAGGGGGCATGGGGCATGGGGCATGGGGCATGGGGCATGGGGCATGGGGCATGGGGCATGGGGCATGGGGCATGGGGCATGGGGCATGGGGGGAAGAGTTTGACAAGCGATAACGTCTCCTCATACTGATGGGCTTCCATGACCGCATTGCGTGCAGAGGGAATGAATGAGAGTGGGCAGGGGGCGACATGGGATGGGCAGGGGGCGACATGGGATGGGCAGGGGGCGACATGGGATGGGCAGGGGGCGACATGGGATGGGCAGGGGGCGACATGGGATGGGCAGGGGGCGACATGGGATGGGACGTGTCACAAGTGTTTGGAGGGGAGGAGCATAGCGCCTACTCATACTGATGGGCTGCCATAGCTGCATTACCTGCAGGGAAAAGGGGCATAGGGCAATATGGGGTGGGTGGGTGGGTGAGGGAAGGGGGAGAGCTTGACAACCATTTGCCCACAGCCACCAACCCCGGCCACAAAGGCATTTGAGTCGACTCAAAAGTCAACCATTTGCCCACAGCCACCAACCCCGGCCACAAAGGCATTTGAGTCGACTCAAAAGTCAACCATTTGCCTACAGCCACCAACCCCGGCCACAAAGGCAATAGAGTCGACTCAAAAGTCAACCATTTGCCCACAGCCACCAACCCCGGCCACAAAGGCATTTGAGTCGACTCAAAAGTCAACCATTTGCCCACAGCCACCAACCCCGGCCACAAAGGCATTTGAGTTGACTCAAAAGTCAACCATTTGCCCACAGCCACCAACCCCGGCCACAAAGGCATTTGAGTCGACTCAAAAGTCAACCATTTGCCCACAGCCCCCAACCCCGGCCACAAAGGCATTTGAGTCGACTCAAAAGTCAACCATTTGCCCACAGCCCCCAACCCCGGCCACAAAGGCATTTGAGTCGACTCAAAAGTCAACCATTTGCCCACAGCCCCCAACCCCGGCCACAAAGGCATTTGAGTCGACTCAAAAGTCAACCATTTGCCCACAGCCCCCAACCCCGGCCACAAAGGCATTTGAGTCGACTCAAAAGTCAACCATTTGCCCACAGCCCCCAACCCCGGCCACAAAGGCATTTGAGTCGACTCAAAAGTCAACCATTTGCCCACAGCCCCCAACCCCGGCCACAAAGGCATTTGAGTCGACTCAAAAGTCAACCATTTGCCCACAGCCCCCAACCCCGGCCACAAAGGCATTTGAGTCGACTCAAAAGTCAACCATTTGCCCACAGCCCCCAACCCCGGCCACAAAGGCATTTGAGTCGACTCAAAAGTCAACCATTTGCCCACAGCCCCCAACCCCGGCCACAAAGGCATTTGAGTCGACTCAAAAGTCAACCATTTGCCCACAGCCACCAACCCCGGCCACAAAGGCATTTGAGTCGACTCAAAAGTCAACCATTTGCCCACAGCCCCCAACCCCGGCCACAAAGGCATTTGAGTCGACTCAAAAGTCAACCATTTGCCCACAGCCCCCAACCCCGGCCACAAAGGCAATTGAGTCGACTCAAAAGTCAACCATTTGCCCACAGCCCCCAACCCCGGCCACAAAGGCATTTGAGTCGACTCAAAAGTCAACCATTTGCCCACAGCCCCCAACCCCGGCCACAAAGGCATTTGAGTCGACTCAAAAGTCAACCATTTGCCCACAGCCCCCAACCCCGGCCACAAAGGCATTTGAGTCGACTCAAAAGTCAACCATTTGCCCACAGCCCCCAACCCCGGCCACAAAGGCATTTGAGTCGACTCAAAAGTCAACCATTTGCCCACAGCCACCAACCCCGGCCACAAAGGCATTTGAGTCGACTCAAAAGTCAACCATTTGCCCACAGCCCCCAACCCCGGCCACAAAGGCATTTGAGTCGACTCAAAAGTCAACCATTTGCCCACAGCCCCCAACCCCGGCCACAAAGGCATTTGAGTCGACTCAAAAGTCAACCATTTGCCCACAGCCCCCAACCCCGGCCACAAAGGCATTTGAGTCGACTCAAAAGTCAACCATTTGCCCACAGCCCCCAACCCCGGCCACAAAGGCATTTGAGTCGACTCAAAAGTCAACCATTTGCCCACAGCCCCCAACCCCGGCCACAAAGGCATTTGAGTCGACTCAAAAGTCAACCATTTGCCCACAGCCCCCAACCCCGGCCACAAAGGCATTTGAGTCGACTCAAAAGTCAACTCGGTATTTGCCCACAGCCCCCAACCCCGGCCACAAAGGCATTTGAGTCGACTCAAAAGTCAACCATTTGCCCACAGCCACCAACCCCGGCCACAAAGGCATTTGAGTCGACTCAAAAGTCAACCATTTGCCCACAGCCCCCAACCCCGGCCACAAAGGCATTTGAGTCGACTCAAAAGTCAACCATTTGCCCACAGCCCCCAACCCCGGCCACAAAGGCATTTGAGTCGACTCAAAAGTCAACCATTTGCCCACAGCCCCCAACCCCGGCCACAAAGGCATTTGAGTCGACTCAAAAGTCAACCATTTGCCCACAGCCCCCAACCCCGGCCACAAAGGCATTTGAGTCGACTCAAAAGTCAACCATTTGCCCACAGCCCCCAACCCCGGCCACAAAGGCAGGCAAGGCCCCCCAGTCACACTAGGCACGCACACACCACCCACCCACGCACTCCAATCCACCCACCATCCATCTACACCACACCACACCACAGCACACCTGACAGGACATCACCACCCCACCCCACCCCACCCCACACCACACCACACCAGACCAGACCACCCACCCTGTGCCTTCAGTTCCTCCGCTTTCTTCTTGTCCTCTTCTGTGACCACCGCTGCCGCCCCACCCCCACCCCCACCCCCAGCAGTCTCAGCAGCAACACCGGCAGCACCAGGAGCAGCACCACTAGCAGAGGGACCAGCAGCATCAGCAGCAGTAGCAGCAGCAGCTGCTTCAGCTGAAGCATCTCCCATTTCCGTCTCCTTCTCCTTCCCCTTGTCGCCCCTTTGACCCTTGCTGCCCCCGCTGCCCGTGCTGCCGCCCTCTTGCTCCTTCTCGTTCCCCTCCTTCTCCCTTCCCTCCTTCTCCCTTCCCTCCTTCTTCCTTTGCTCACGGCCCCCTTCCCCTTGCTCCTTGTCCCCTCCTTCTCTCCCCCCTCCCTGCTGAGCAACGCACTGGTGAAAGATAGCTCTGGCCTGCTGCTGCCTTGCCACGTACTCCTCACTCCCCGCCACCGTCCCAGCATAATACCCCGCACTCTCCAGCCCCTGCAGAAACTCCTGAAGCTTCTTCTCCAGATCCAAAGCACCCTGGCCTTCCCCCTGCCCCTCCTCCCCTTGCCTGTCCTTCCCTTTGCTCTGTTCCCCCTCTTTTTTCTTCGCGTCCCCTTGGCTCCGCGCCTCCTGTTTCCCCCGATCTTGCCGCTCCCCACTCACACCCGCCCCAGCTTCCTCACGTGCCGTTTCCCCTTCTCTTTCTTTCCCTTGTTCCCCCGTTTGTTCTGTAACCCCTTCAACAGCGTCTTTCATTTCTACTTCCTCCCCTCCCGCTCTGCCTTCACCGCCCCCAATGCCTATCCTCGCGTTTTCTGCTGCTCCTGCAGCAACCGAGCCTCCCCCAACCGTGTCTTCCAAACCTGCTCCTCGAGGCTCGGAGCCACCCTTGTCCCCTTCATCCATAGGTTCGGGCAGCGGGGCAGCAGCCTGGGAATTTTCCACTAGCTGCCCGCCTGGCCGGGCAGCACCGGCTGAAGAACCATGACCAGTAGCAGAACTGGGCATGCTGTCCTGAATGAGATGCAACAGTGTTCCGGGCAGAACTGAATATTTTTCTAGGTCGTCAGGGTTTTGCGGGCTGACCGCAAAAGCTTCGGAGAGACAGTCTGCAGCAACCTCTAGGGCGTCTGAGTCAACTGAGGAAGGGAGAGAGGCTGTTGCAGCAGCGAAAAAACGGGAGGGAATGGAAAGACGGGACAACAGATGGGTGGTGGAATGATTTTGGGACGACATTTATCACGCATGGCAGTCTGCGGCAACATCTAGGGCGCCTGAGTCAACTGAGGCAGGGAGTGAGGCTGATGGTTGAGGGGGGGAGAAAGAAAACAGGAGGGAACGGAAAAAGGAAATCATGTGCATGGAGAAATTAATATCGATCATCACAGACATAGAGTTTTAGTATACCGCAACCCCTAGGGCGTCTGAGTCAACTGAGGAAGGGAGAGGGGCTGATAGGGCAGCGGTGGGGAAATGAAACGGAGAACAGATATTGAACGGCTGGTTGCACGAGTTTTTTTGTCGAAAAGATTGTCACCATAAACGAAGAGTGAAACAGCTTCATGCGGTAACTACTACTGTCCCGAGGAAGTAGACGAATGATAGCACAGAAAGGTCTCAGAACATAAACAAGCGAGGCCTGAGACGCTTCCCTCAGTCGCTAGCACCTACCTGTGCGGAGATATTGACCGTTGAGACGCTTCCCCTCGAGCACTAGCGCCTACCTGTGCGGAGATATTGACCGTTGAGACGCTTCCCCTCGAGCACTAGCGCCTACCTGTGCGGAGATATTGACCGTTGAGACGCTTCCCCTCGAGCACTAGCGCCTACCTGTGCGGAGATATTGGCCGTTGAGACGCTTCCCCTCGAGCACTAGCGCCTACCTGTGCGGAGATATTGACCGTTGAGACGCTTCCCCTCGAGCACTAGCGCCTAACTGTGCGGAGATATTGACCGTTGAGACGCTTCCCCTCGAGCACTAGCGCCTACCTGTGCGGAGATATTGACCGTTGAGACGCTTCCCCTCGAGCACTAGCGCCTACCTGTGCGGAGATATTGACCGTTGAGACGCTTCCCCTCGAGCACTAGCGCCTACCTGTGCGGAGATATTGACCGTTGAGACGCTTCCCCTCGAGCACTAGCGCCTACCTGTGCGGAGATATTGACCGTTGAGACGCTTCCCCTCGAGCACTAGCGCCTACCTGTGCGGAGATATTGACCGTTGAGACGCTTCCCCTCGAGCACTAGCACCTACCTGTGCGGAGATATTGACCGTTGAGACGCTTCCCCTCGAGCACTAGCGCCTACCTGTGCGGAGATATTGACCGTTGAGACGCTTCCCCTCGAGCACTAGCACCTACCTGTGCGGAGATATTGACCGTTGAGACGCTTCCCCTCGAGCACTAGCGCCTACCTGTGCGGAGATATTGACCGTTGAGACGCTTCCCCTCGAGCACTAGCGCCTACCTGTGCGGAGATATTGACCGTTGAGACGCTTCCCCTCGAGCACTAGCACCTACCTGTGCGGAGATATTGACCGTTGAGACGCTTCCCCTCGAGCACTAGCGCCTACCTGTGCGGAGATATTGACCGTTGAGACGCTTCCCCTCGAGCACTAGCACCTACCTGTGCGGAGATATTGACCGTTGAGACGCTTCCCCTTGAGCACTAGCGCCTACCTGTGCGGAGGAAATCGAGGAATGCGAGCACGGTTCGCCTCTGAGCGAAAAAAACATCCCCCTTACACGCCGCATCGCTTGGAGGGGCCATAATCTGCGGGATCGGCGGTCACGAAACGATCGCGTTTTACAGATTCCGGCCGGCTGGATCCTACTGTGCGGTAATTTGCCGTAAAGTTTCCGATTAGGAGTGATATCACAACGCCATTCGCGACAACGGTATCGAGTTCGAACACTTCGGCCAGAGGAAGGACGGGATTGAAAGCCGTAAAGGACGGCGAGAAAGATCAAACGCGCCAATTCGAAAAGCAGCCTGCTGCTGCTGGCGGGACGGTGATCGTTGCTGTGTCGCGCGTTTGGACCCGTCAAGTCTAAATTGTAGGTGCTAACGCCGAGCAGAAGTGTCAGCCTAAACTACTAGCAAGGAGGAACTTGCTTGGTCGTGCATAAGTTTCTGGAAGAAGGGTGAAGCAAAAAAGATGGGGGGGATGAGACGAGGTGAGAGAGGATATTTGGATGGTTCTGGAATCTGAACATACATGAACCGCGAAGTTTATTACAGGAAAGCTGCAATATCCTGCTACACCGTACCTCTTCCCTGAACTTATCGGTTTTTTTTTTTTCACAAAATGGCTACCCCTTCAATCAGCAATGCACAGTCTAGGAAGTTGCTTTGTCGAGTGTATCTTTCAGCTTCTTCAGCAAACGCATCACAGTGCGCTTATCGCGGATGCTGTCTCCGTGTCACCAACTTTCACAGGTGATCTCGAGGAGGTACCACAACCGCCGGCATTCCCAAGGCTGGTTCTGATCACTAGCAGTTTGATCATGCAAGCTATGCCGGATGGTGGCCCTCCGCGCAGAAGCAGCTGACCTAATTCGTTCGTTATGCGATATCGTGACGTAAACTAGTTGTCTGACGCTGATTAATCAAAAGCTTTTTTATTTTCTTACTAGCTGAACCGGTATCAGTGCGTCAGGATCGCCGTTCGCTTCGTCACCAACGCAGCAGCGGCAGCAGCAGCAGCATCTCCATAGTTCCAACTGGCTTCTCGGCCCCCTTTAAATTTTACTTTATTTAAGTTTAGCGCGTTTTAGACAAGTCTTAGAAACTGCTCGAATGTGCTTCTGTCACTTCGAATTCAGCGTAGTCTGGAGGAGAGACAGTAAAAGCTGAATGCGCGTCGCGGGTCTAGAAAGACAGAGCTGTATGAGCAGCAAGAACTGAAACTAGCATTCCTTTAGACACTTACTGCGATGAGACTAAAAAGAAGACCCTCATACTTGGCTGAAAGCCGGAACGGTAGAACCAGCAGATTCGAAATGGGAAGTCGCGGAAGCTGTCACGATGCTTCGAGTTGCGCTGCGAAACGTGGTTTTGCAGTCGAAACGTCAAGAAGCGCTCTCTCGCGAAGCTCAATTCCTTGGAAGAATACGCCTTTCCTCGCATCGCCTCTGGTGACTGCTGTCCTTCTCGCTCTGCTCGTTCCCAGCGCCGTCGCTGGCTCGTCCAGACCATCCGCGTTGCAAGCGGACTCTTTAGCAGCGTATCTTTCAGAAACGAGCGACCATTTGCCGATGACGTCACGAGTGCTCTCTCTGGCGGATTACGCTTCTTGGGAGGGTTCTGTGCGCCGGAGATTGGTGGATGACGTGGCATCAACGGTCAACAGCGTGCTAAGGTGAACCTACTTGAGCCTTGAACCTAGCTCAATTCAAGCCGCCCAAGAATACGCGGCTTAAAGAGAGCTCTTTGGAATTGGCGCCTCTTAAACCTCGGCTCAAGAACCTGGCTTTTGTTGCGGAGCTAACCTTCTCTCTCCTCCGTCTCCCCTCCCTTTCATCCCATTCCTCCCTTTCATTCCTGCCTCTTCCCTGTCGATCCTATCTGTCCCCCGTACTCCACCCCTTCACTCTTTCCCTCCGCACCTTCGCCCTTCCCCCTTCCACCCTCCCCTCCTATCTTCCCTCCACACTCTTCCTTCGGATAGCCCCGAGGCGGTGAGTCAGCTGGTGGGGCGGCTGAGGGCGCTGAGGGTGCGACTGGGGGAGGTGGTAACGCGGGCGAACACGACCATGCAGCTGCTGCCGGGACTGGACGAGGAGAACGGCGCGGAGGGCAGCGGGGAGGGACCGTCTTCCCCTCATCCCAACACATTTACTCCCTTCTATTGTCCCCCAGTCCACACCAAATGATTTTCCCTCGTCTTTCTCACCCAACCCCTGTTTGCCCATCTCTCCCTGTTCCCCTCTAGTCCCGAGGCGGTGAGTCAGCTGGTGGGGCGGCTGAGGGCGCTGAGGGTGCGACTGGGGGAGGTGGTAACGCGGGCGAACACGACCATGCAGCTGCTGCCGGGACTGGACGAGGAGAACGGCGCGGAGGGCAGCGGGGAGGGGCTGGAGAGCGTGAAGGTGGTTGATGTGGTGGATGACGATCAGACGCCACTCAAACTCGACTGGTGAGTGAGAGGGATCACGACTTGAAAAGGAGGCAGACTGTAGCGCGGACAGACAGGCAAGATTGTGAGGAGGGCAGCGGGGAGGGGCTGGAGAGCGTGAATGTGGTGGATGACGATTAGACTCCACTCAAGCTGGATTGGTGAGACTTGTGGATAATGGTTAATGCTTTGGTGTGAGTGTGTGGGTGTGGATGTGTGTGGTTGACAAAACAAGCAGGGAGGGGCTGGAGAGCGTGAAGGTGGTTGATGTGGTGGATGATGACTGAAAGTCACTCTCAACCCTCTCCCCTCCTCCTCTTCCCCTCCTCCTCTTCCCCTCCACCCCCCAGGGGTCGGGCTGTGAGCAAGGAGCAGCGGGAGAAGGAGGAGAAGGACAAGCAGGCGCAGGGGCGATGCCCCTCAGATGCTCAAGCAGGAGGGGGCGCAGGCGGCGCTGCTGACGTGGCGGCGGCTCATAGGCTGGCGGCACATGCGGACTGGAGGGGCGGATTCGCGAATGGGAGCTTGGCATGGGCGCCGGAGAAGGATAGATACATTCTCATGGATTGCCACAGAGGAAGGGTGCGTGGAGGTGGGGTAAGGTGTGTGTGTGGGGTAAGGTGTGTGTGTGGGGTAAGCTGTGTGGGTGGGTTAAGGAAGAAATGGGGAGGAAAGGGAGAGAATAGCAAGTTGATTCGCGAATGGGAGCTTGGCATGGGCGCCAGAGAAGGATAGATACATTCTCATGGATTGCCTTGCCATAGGGGGAAGGTGTGTGCGGGATGAGGGGGAAAAAGGGGGGATGGAGGTGTATGCGAGCTTGCAGAATAAAAGATTTATTCTCATGCACTGCCATAGGGGGAAGGCGTGTGGGGCGAGGTGTGCGGGGGAAGGCGTGTGGGGCGAGGAGTGCGGGGGAAGGCGTGTGGGGCGAGGTGTGCGGGGGAAGGTGTTCGGGGCGAGGTGGGTGGGGAAAGGTGTTCGGGGCGAGCTGTATGGGTGGGCGGGTGGTTAGGCAGGTGGAGAGGGGAGGGAAGAGAGAATAGTTGGCTGGTCGATTAGCGAGTGTGAGCTTGGTGTGGGCGCCGGAGAAGGATAGATACATTCTCATGGACTGCCACAGGGGAAAGATGCGTGGGGAGGAGGCGTGTGGGTGGGTGGGTGGGCGGGTGGAAAGGGGAGGGAGGAGCGAAGTGCAGGTATGTTAATCCACGAATGGAGTATGGGGTGGGAGCATGGGGTGGGAGCATGGCTTTTGAGGCGCCTCAAAATGGGGTGGGAGTATGGGGAGGGAGCATGGGGTGGGAGCATGGGGTGGGAGCATGGGGTGGGAGCATGGGGTGGGAGCATGGGGTGGGAGCATGGGGTGGGAGCATGGGGTGGGAGCTGGAATAGATGATTGATGCGACTTTTGAGAATTCTCAAAAGTCGCATCAATGGGAGCATGGGGTGGGTGCATGGGGTGGGTGCATGGGGTGGGTGCATGGGGTGGGAGCTGGAATATTATAGATACGTCCTCATGGACTGCCAGAGGGGGAAGGTGTTTGGAGAGGGGAAGGAGGGACGGGTCGAGGTGTGTGGGTGTGGCAAGTGTGAGAGTGCGGTTTGGGAGCTTGTAAGGGCCAGCTATCCTTTCTCCCCTCCCTCCCCCCCTTCCCTCCCTCCCCCCCTTCCCTCCCTCCCCCCCTTCCCTCCTTCCCCTCCTTCCCTCCCTCCCCCCTTTCCCTCCCTCCCTCCCTCTCTCCTTCCCTCCCTCCCTCCCTCCCTCCCTCCCTCCCTCCCTCCCTCCCTCCCTCTCTCCTTCCCTCCCTCCTTCCCTCCCTCCTTCCCTCCCTCGCTCCCTCCTTCCCTCCCTCGCTCCCTCCTCTGGTGCATTATTGACGATACATTCCCACTTCCCTGCAGCCCTCCCTCTGCCCCCCATATTAACTCCAGTCAACACCAGTCCAGCACGCGCATCCGATGCTTCCGCAACTACATGCTGCTGGTCAACCACACGCCGTTAATGCGCCCTTTCCTTATTTCACCGCCCTCCCTCCCTCTCCCCCTCCCCCCCATGTCAACACCAGTCCAGCACGCGCATCCGCTGCTTCCGCAACTACATGCTGCAGGCAGGGCTGTCAAATCGCCCCGCTGCTGGTGATTCTCCCTTTCCCCCTCCCCTCTACTCTCTTCCCCACTCATTTCCCACCAACCCCTCACCCCTCTCCCTCCTCCAGTCCAGCACGCGCATCCGCTGCTTCCGCAATTACATGCTGCTGGCGGGCCTCTCAAACCGCACGCTGCTGGTGCCGATGAACACAACAGAGGTCGCGTCTGGGTACGACCGCCGCATCGTGTTTGACTTCGACCACGCGTGGAGGTGAGTGAGTGAGTGAGAGATTGAGTGAGTGAGTGAGAGAGTGAGTGAGTGAGTGAGTGAGTGGGTGACTGGCATAGTGCCCTCTAAAGGGAGCTCTCAGACCGCACGCTGCTGGTGCCGATGAACACAACGGAGGTCGCGTCTGGGTATGAACGGCGCATTGTGTTTGACTTGGACCACGCGTGGCGGTGAGTGGAGGATTCAGGTTCGGCAAGCTGGTGAGTGAATGAGTGAGTCGGTGAGTGGGTGGGTTGGTGGGTGCAACTGCACCGTGCACGCTGCTGGTGCCGATGAACACCACAGAGGTCGCGTCTGGGTATGACCGGCGCATTGTGTTTGACTTGGACCACACCTGGAGGTGGGTGGGGCATGGGGGCATGGGGGCATGGGGTCATGGGGGAATGGGGTCATGGGGGAATGGGGTCATGGGGTCATAGGGGAATGGGGTCATGGGGGCGAGTGTTAATTGGTGTAGGCCTGCGTAAGCACACAAACACACACAGACTTACTGCATCCCAAAACCCTCTGAATCCCTACCTCTCAAGCAAAAAAATCCCTACCTCTCCCCTGGATCCCGCCCCTCCTATTCGCCCCACCCAGGTGCTACAGCCTACAGCCCTCCACTGTGCTCTCCACCCAAGATGGAGGGGATGGAGGCACAAGCCACAGCGCTCGGTTCATTCAAACCCTTGCAACAAAATATAATCCTACCCTGCCCTCCTTCCACCTCCCCTCTCTCTCTTATTAACCCCCCCACCCAGGTGCTACAGCCTACAGCCCTCCACTGTGCTCTCCACCCAAGGTTTTCTCGACTTGAGCAAGAACGGAGCGAAGGGAATGGCCCATCCTCCCTCCCTTTTCTTCCCTCCCCCATCTCTCTCATATTCGCCCCATCCAGGTGCTATGGCCCACTTTCTGTTCTCTCCACTCAAGATTTTCTAGACTTGAACAAGGGGGGAGCGGAGGAAGGGGGAGGAGGAGGAGTGAAGGACGGGAAAGTAGTGATCGATCAAGTGCTGTGCCTACGAGGAACCTGCTACAACCAGAAAGGCCATGGGGATCCGGGCACTTTGGTCAATCTGCCCGACGCTGCCCTAGCCGAAAATATCACATGGAGCACTGTCCCTTCCACGGCGATTAAGGAGCAGAAGTTTCGCCTGCCCGAAGCGGCCGAGATTGCGCGCGAAATCGTTCCGTCTGCCCGGGTTGTGGTTCTGGGGGAGCTGGAAACTTTCTCGTTTGACCGGTCGCTCGAGGCCGAGGGCGACATTCCTTTTTTCCGCCGCCCGGGCTGCCCGAACTCCCTCGCCATCCAACCCCATCCCGCCGTCCTTCTTTCCGCAGAGCGGCTAATACAGTCAAAAATGTGGACCCTTATTGCACTGAACGCCACTTTTAGCCACACGCCCGCGAATTTCACAATCAACAACACGGGAGCGGACGGCGGGAGTCGGGGCATGGGATGGCAGAAGGAGAGCGAAGTAACCGAGATTCAGGATAAGAGATTCGTGGCAGTGCATTGGAGAAGGGGCGAGATGGGGATGGGGTGCAAGGAACCTGGGGTGATGTGTCACGTGCGGGCGGCGCAGGCGGCTGGGTGTATTGCGAGGGTGATGGAGAAAGCTGGGGGGATTAAGACGGTGTTTCTCGTGTCTGATGCCAGTCCCAAGGAGGTACGTATGTGGTCCCAAAGAGGTATGTTTGTGTGTCTCCACAAGGAGGTATTGTTTGTGTGTCGTCCCAAGGAGGTAAGTTTGTGTGTCGTCTCAAGGAGGTATGTTTGTGTGTCGTCCCAAGGAGGTAAGTTTGTGTGTCGTCTCAAGGAGGTATGTTTGTGTGTCGTCCCAAGGAGGTAAGTTTGTGTGTCGTCTCAAGGAGGTATGTTTGTGTGTCGTCCCAAGGAGGTAAGTTTGTGTGTCGTCTCAAGGAGGTATGTTTGTGTGTCGTCCCAAGGAGGTAAGTTTGTGTGTCGTCTCAAGGAGGTATGTTTGTGTGTCGTCCCAAGGAGGTAAGTTTGTGTGTCGTCTCAAGGAGGTATGTTTGTGTGTCGTCCCAAGGAGGTAAGTTTGTGTGTCGTCTCAAGGAGGTATGTTTGTGTGTCGTCCCAAGGAGGTAAGTTTGTGTGTCGTCTCAAGGAGGTATGTTTGTGTGTCGTCCCAAGGAGGTAAGTTTGTGTGTCATCCCAAGGAGGTAAGTTTGTGTGTCGTCCCAAGGAGGTAAGTTTGTGTGTCGTCCCAAGGAGGTAAGTTTGTGTGTCGTCCCAAGGAGGCAAGTTTGTGTGTCGTCCCAAGGAGGTAAGTTTGTGTGTCGTCCCAAGGAGGCAAGTTTGTGTGTCGTCCCAAGGAGGTAAGTTTGTGTGTCGTCCCAAGGAGGTAAGTTTGTGTGTCGTCCCAAGGAGGTAAGTTTGTGTGTCGTCCGAAGGAGGTAAGTTTGTGTGTCGTCCCAAGGAGGTAAGTTTGTGTGTCGTCCCAAGGAGGTAAGTTTGTGTGTCGTCCCAAGGAGGTATGTTTGTGTGTCGTCCCAAGGAGGTATGTTTGTGTGTCGTCCCAAGGAGGTAAGTTTGTGTGTCGTCCCAAGGAGGTATGTTTGTGTGTCGTCCCAAGGAGGTATGTTTGTGTGTCGTCCCAAGGAGGTATGTTTGTGTGTCGTCCCAAGGAGGTAAGTTTGTGTGTCGTCTCAAAGAGGTATGTTTGTGTGTCGTCCCAAGGAGGTAAGTTTGTGTGTCATCCCAAGGAGGTAAGTTTGTGTGTCGTCCCAAGGAGGTAAGTTTGTGTGTCGTCCCAAGGAGGTAAGTTTGTGTGTCGTCCCAAGGAGGTAAGTTTGTGTGTCGTCCCAAGGAGGTAAGTTTGTGTGTCGTCCCAAGGAGGTAAGTTTGTGTGTCGTCCCAAGGAGGTAAGTTTGTGTGTCGTCCCAAGGAGGTAAGTTTGTGTGTCGTCCCAAGGAGGTAAGTTTGTGTGTCGTCCGAAGGAGGTAAGTTTGTGTGTCGTCCCAAGGAGGTAAGTTTGTGTGTCGTCCCAAGGAGGTAAGTTTGTGTGTCGTCCCAAGGAGGTATGTTTGTGTGTCGTCCCAAGGAGGTATGTTTGTGTGTCGTCCCAAGGAGGTAAGTTTGTGTGTCGTCCCAAGGAGGTATGTTTGTGTGTCGTCCCAAGGAGGTATGTTTGTGTGTCGTCCCAAGGAGGTATGTTTGTGTGTCGTCCCAAGGAGGTATGTTTGTGTGTCGTCCCAAGGAGGTATGTTTGTGTGTCCTCCCAAGGAGGTATGTTTGTGTGTCCTCCCAAGGAGGTATGTTTGTGTGTCCTCCCAAGGAGGTATGTTTGTGTGTCGACACAAGGAGGTACGTGTGTGGCAAGGAGGTATGTGGTCGTAACGAGGTGTGTGGGGGGATCAAGACGATGCTTCTCGTGTCTGATGCCAGTCCCAAGGGGGTGTGTGTCAAGAGGGTATGTGTTTGGTCATCCTTCCCCTGTGGCCCCTCCCAAGTCTGTACATGATTCCGCAGAGGTATTTGGTTGCAAGGAGGTGTGTGTTCCGCAAAAGATTCGTAATGTTCTCTTTCAGCACATTCGAGATCTTTGCCTCGTCATGCTGCCTCCTTCTCCCTTTCCCCCTCCCCTTCCCTTTCCCCCTCCCTTCCCCCTTACCTTCCACCTCTCCCTCCCTCTGTTCTTTTCTTTCTGATTTCCCTTCTCCCGAACCAGTTGACTGAAATTCGCAATGCTCTCTTTCTGCACATTCAAGACCTTCGCCTCGTCATGCTGCCTGCTAACCCTGTTCCTCCCCCCACAACCATTCCTTACCGTTTCCCTTCCCCATTTCCCTTCCCCCTTATCTTCTCCTCCCCCCAGCTCACTGAGATTCGCAACGCTCTCTTTCAACACATTCAAGACCTTCGCCTCGTCATGCTGCCCCCGAACCTTCGCGGGCAGAAGTGGGCTGCCCGGCTGAAAAGTTACGACTTTCAACACCAGGGGCTGATTGTTTCTACTGTAGACAAATGTGTCGCCGCCCTGGCTGATATTTTTCTCGGGACCGCTGGATCGAGCTTCACTCTTGACATCCAACGGCTGAGATCGGGCCTCAGGACGGCCAGCTGTGAAGATTCATTCATTTGTGAGGGTGCTGGTGAGCATGCTTCGTCTCTTACCACACGCAGGTGATCCTGGTGCTGGTGAATGTTGCTACAGCTGATGAAGTGCTACACAGTGCTACCCTTGATGTAAGTGGTGTACAATGTCTCTGGTCTGGTGATATGGCATCTAATGATTTTAGTCCTTCACTGGTGTGTTGCAGAATAGATTCTGGCATGTATTACATGTTATCATCCCACACGTGTCTATGATTGCCGCATAACATGCCACATGCTACACTCACGCTTGCTTCATGAATGAAAACAAAACAAAACAAATGTACATTCAAGCTTGCTTCATGCATCAACGCTTTAAGAGCATGTTCCTACACCTCGTATCAGAAACACCTCGTATCAGGTTCGCGCGGTGAAATGCGTTTCAGTGTGTTCGACTGCGGTTGGATGCGTTTTAGTGCGGTTCGACACGAAAGGAGAGGAGGTTGCCTGATAGGAACACGCTCTATAAGCCCTCTGCCAGTCTCTACACTGTAGTGCTCTAAGCAACTGACCAAGAGGGCGTGAATCGTGATCCCACAACCTCAGCACAGTACCTCTGTTCAAATCCTAATCCAAGGTAGTGTAGGGTCTACATAAGAGATAATCTCTGTGAATTCTCCCCATTCTCCTCCCCCACACCCCCTCCCCCAACCGCCCCCTACCACCCCCCTTCGTTCCCATCCCCCTCCCCCTCCCCTCACCTTTCCCCCTCCCTCCCTCCAAGATATTGTCTCACAGCATTTTCCAAATCAACTGTTCCAGCTACTCTCCTACCTTCCTCTTGCTCCTCTTGCCTTCCCCCCTCCCCCTGCTTCGCCTCCCCATCCTCACTATCCTCCCCCCCCCTCCCCTCCTTCCCCGCATTCCCCCTCTCATCCTCCTCCTCCCCACCTGCCCCAATTCCTTTCACCACCACCACCACCTTCTCCCCTCCCTCTTCCACTATTGCTTTGACCACCAACAGCCCCTCTCCCTCCTCTCCCTCCTCCCCCACTGCTTTCACCACTAGTACTTCTTCCTCCTCCTCCTCCTCCTCCTCCTCCTCCTCCTCCTCCTCCTCCTCCTCCTCCTCCTCCTCCTCCTCCTCCTCCTCCTCCTCCTCCTCCTCCTCCTCCTCCTCCTCCTCCTCCTCCTCTCCCTCCGCTCCCGCCTCTTCCTCCTCTTCCTCATTTCCCTCCTCCCCATCCGTTTTCTCCTCTCCCCCCTCCTTGCTCCCCTCCTCCTCTTCCTCCCCTCGGTTCTTTGGCAGCTTCAGTCCAAATCTCTTTTCGAAATCCACATCCTTGCATCCAAACATGTACCCAAGCCCGTACTTCTCCGCCTTACCCGCTTCCAGCAGCAGCTTATAACGAGGACGGAGCCTCTTCTCCACGCTCCGCGTCAGCAGCGCCGGCCACATCGCCACGTCACCAAGCCCCCGCCCCATATCCTCCACAACGAATCGAATCTTCGATTCCAGGGTTTCCCATGTAAACGCAATCACCAGCGGCATCTGGTTCATCATCCGAACCGCGGTTTCCCGCCCAAAAAGATTGGTCAAATTCGTTAGAGTCACAACCATGCTGTCCCAATTTTGCCCGAGCAACAACGGCTGACGCATCAAGAATCGGCGCGCTTGTTCCTCCCCAAAATACTCCACCATCCCTTTATAAGTCGCTTCCGTCGTTTCGTGCTTCACTAAAAGCAGCTGCGGGTACCGTCGCAAGTAGTACAGCATATCCCCGTTTTTGTCCCCCAGAATCGACTGTATCAGCAAAACCTTCCGCTGGATCTCCGACGCTCTACCCCCCAAAACAAAAGGGGAAGTTTCGAGAATATCCGCAACAGGGGTTAAACCAGCCAGCTCCAGCTGCCGAACTTTTTCCTGTAAGGTCGGTACGGTCAGGTTTAAAACAAACGGGAAACTCTGAACGACCTTGTCTATTCTCTTAACGCCCAGCTCGGAGCGCATATAGTGTAAAGCGGCTGCGAGAGTATCCTCTGAGACGGAAAAGACGCAAGCGCGAGTCGCGGCGCGTAGAAGACTAAGCGGCGAGATGCCGTACTCCTTAAATAAAGCCGTCTTCTGCATGGTGAGGGAATTGAAGTCCGTCTGGAAGAGCGACGGATTCCGGTGGAAAATAGTCAGAAGCTGTTTATCCGAGAGTGCGCCGTTAGACAGATGGCTAAGGATTAAGAGATTCTGGCTCGCTATAGAGCCTATGCTGACGTGGCGCTTGGGGTATTTGAGTGATAACTCGTGCAAGACGCGTCTAAACCTGGCGGCTTCAGCGAGGGGAAACGTGTCAAGTTCTGCTAACACCGCGTCGTACTGTGACACGTACGGCCCATCCGTCCCCGTTTCATCTCCGTCTTTAGAACTCTGTTCCCCGTGCTCCCCCTGATCTATCTGCCCCCCCCGTTCCCGCAACTCCTCAAGCCGTTTCCGCTCGCTGCTGCCGTCGTCGATGGGCGTTGCATCCACGTCAGCAACTCGCGTGGCAGAAAGCGAATGCTTGCGCGGATGCCTCGTCGCTCCGCCTCTGCTGCAAGCCGCGAGACTCTGAGAGCGCGCAGAGCTCACCGCTTTCCGCGGAACCGGCAAATGCGGGGGCGCACGAGTTGAGCGGCTCGCGCCATCGTCTCCGTACGCGCAAATCGCGCCAGTCGGAGGCGCTGGTGCGGAGATTCGGGGACTGGCGCGGAGGAGCATCTCCGCGCGCGACCTTTTGAATCGACGCCGAAGTCGCGATAGCGGATGGAGCGTGCACGAAGTTCTTCCTGAATCTGCTGCTGCGAACGAATAGTCCCTTGCTAATTCGATGTTTTTCGAGGCACCAGTTATGCGGGCGGAAAGGGCGCTAGATATGACTGTAGGATGTGAGCAACGGTGCTAATGGGGTTTTTAGAAGTTGGGTCAGGACTTGGGAGCGGGCTCAGGAATTATGAACGAGGTTTTAGGATTAAAAAGGGGCTCAAATTTGAAGTGCGGGGGGTGAAATTGGCGGCGAACAAGGAGTCCGTTATGCGAAATCGGTAGTAAAATTCTGTACAATGATAGAACGAGCGAAACACACGGCCTATATGCGAAATGGGAATTTTGTACAAAACATGTCTTACATACGGAAATTCAACGTAGTCTTCAGCCTACTCTTACAGCTGCCTTCATCCCCTTCTCACAGTCCTGCCCTGTTAGAGATGCAAAGTACAGGCTGTACTTTTTTCTGCTTTGTGTAGGGACCACAAACTTGTACACCCCGTAGAATCTTGGGCTTAGAAGTTGCAGAGCTTGAGACCTATCACAATTATCATATGCAGCTTTATTTTCGAGCCATTGAAGGTCATGCTGGCCAAGCCAACGAAACACTGCGTTTGGGAGGGAAGGGAAAAAACAAATACACATTGTTACATTTTCGTGTGAGAAGAGATATGCATTCCTGCTTTTCTCCTAGTATGGGGAGTCCACAACAGCGCCTCATCAGGCAGTACATGACAACATACCAAGAATATCTCCGGGTTTGACGGGGCGCCCTTGCCACTTTTGAGCGCCATACGTCCAGCCAAAGAACTTCTTCAGACCAAGACGAACCATGCGAGCCTGGAATGCACAAGAGAGGGGAAAATGGTGGAGGTAGGGATGGGAGAGAAAAAGAGTGAGAGAAAGGGGAGAGGAAGTGGGAACAGGGATGGGTGGGGTGGAGTGAGAGGGGAGGGGGAGGGGGGGGGGGGGGGAGGATTCATTTTTTTGTTAATGCGCATACGGACAGGCATATGATTGTGGTCGACAATAAACCATTTGCGTAACTGGTACCTGACAATAAGGAGCGCCTGTTACGGATGTTCAACAGTGGCGTCACGTGGTCGTATGAGGTAGCAGCGCATATGGGAGTGGGGAGCAGAAAAGAAATCCAAATCACGTGTTCGCGGCGGGGAACGGGGTGGGGAGAGTGGGGAAGGGGAGTTAGTGAGGACAATAAGCAGAGTGGGTAGGATGCATGCCAAAACGAGGATAGAATGAAACAGTAGCAAATCATAGGGTGCTTCCTCGTAGCTATAACCGGCTTTCCTCGGTTTGAAGACCTGCGTGGTCTGTGGTTTTGGCGTTTACTGAAATCTCACAAAACACGCTTGATAAAGTTAAGTAATGCTTCTGCACTTGGTCAATACAGTGACCCGCGTGACGCGGTGAGGGTTCAACGCGAGGGAATTTTGCGAAATCGTGCAGATTGACGAAAAATACTACAAGCAACGACGGCATATGGTAACCACGCGTTCTCTAAACTAATGACACTCCCAGCTACTACGCCTATTTTAGAAATCCCGACTAGTAGTTTTGTTACTGTCACGAAGAGGACTCCTAGTAAAGAGCGACTGCTCGAGAGTGGCTACCGAATAGGAGCTATTGGAGAGCGCAAGAGCACGCACTTGTTAGCGCAAGAAGCGAGAGTAGCAGAAGCGCGCACATCCTTGCATTTACGGTCGGAACTAACCGAAGCGCCATCGTCCTTGTCCGACAAGCGCTTCTCCGGTAGTTTAGCTGCCCGTGCGACGAAATTTGGCGTTAGCGCAATCGGCGTGGATCGATATTGCGGGGTGCCTTTCAAAGGCTGAGGGAGGGAGATATCGGATGCAAGTGTTCTTCGAACAGTCTGGTTCAGCAATCCACGTCGCTTATTGCCTCCCAATTTCGAACCTGGAACAAGTATTCGAACAAAATCAAGGGTGTTTTACTACTCTCGGAGTACAGCCAATAACGTATGTGACAACGAGGTCAGGCAGATAAGAGGGGACCGAGAGACGGAGGAACGAAGGGGCCGTAGAGGTCAAGGAAGACGAAAGAGCAGATGGCTAGCAGATGCCTGTGTTCTGTTCTGCATGGCGGATGGGATGGGAGCGGAAAGGAAAGGAGGGGTGGGTCGATGGAATGGAAAGGAGGGGAGGTGAGGTGGGTACGGAGACAAAAGAACCGAAGGGGTGATGGAAGTGCAGCTATCGCTCCTATCGCAGGCAAGCAAGAATGGTGTCGAGTGCGATTTGCAGGCCATGAGTTTGCGCAACGGGTGGATATTGAGCGAAATGTTACTTCAACTCGAGAACGTTCGCAGACGGAGACGTGACAAAAAGTATCCCGTCGCAAAGGGCTGTGTTGCAGATTGCATTTCTCGAATTTTGAGGGTTGGCGATTCGGATTGGCCGCGAAGAATTAATAAATATATTCCCGCGATTTCTCGGATGATAGCCTGTACAAAGTGAACATGTGAAAAGCTCTTAGCCTTGATCCAAATAGAGAACTATACCATGCTGTTTAAAAGATGGCACATGAAACCCCATGTCGCCCCAACAAACTGCAAATGTGTGATGCCCACTTCTAATATTAAGCTTCATTCTTACACGCAATTAATTCTAATATTGATCTATAAAGGCTAAGGTCGCACTAATCATCGTAGGTATCTTGTAAGGAGTATTCAGACTCCGATATGTCAGCCTGACTAGAGCCTTCTACAGCACCATCTCCGGTAGCAAGCACGCCCCCAGATGTGGCTCCATCATGACTCTCAACGTCCATTGGTTGTCCCGGAACCATCATACCAGCTGCATCATACTGAGTGTATGAATGCGGCAACACATAACCATACTCCTCCGCTGATGTGTACACCATTCCCATGTGCTCTGCGCCAGTACTGCCTGCCATAGGGTGCATAGGACTACCAGTGGGATACACAGGGGTTCCCATGGGTTGCATGGGACTAGCCATGGGGTGCATGGGACTAGCCATGGGGTGCATGGGACTAGCCATCGTTTGCATGGGGCCACCTATGGGGTGCATGGGACTACCCATGCTCATGCCATGCATTGGGCTGCCAGTGATAGCTTGGGTGGTGTACGAAGCACCCGCTACAGACTGGGCGATGCTGCTCATATAGGGTACAGGGCTGTGCATTGTTGACCCAGACTGACCGCCGTAAACCGAACCTGACACCTCCGAGCCTGTGGCGGTTGCTTCGGATTCTGAAACAGAGGCGGACTGGGGAAAGCTGAAGCTGCCTGCCGGTTGGTGTGCGCCTGACGCCGTACCTCCGTCTCCTCCTGCTCCTGCCGCCTCTCCTTCTCCCCCTCCTCCTCCTGCTCCTCCTGCCCCTGCTGTTGCCCCTGCCGCGTGATACGCATGGGCTGGCACGTACCCAACGTTGACTTGAGCGATATTCTGAGCTGCCCCTTGGGCGGCAGCTTGGGCAGCAGCACGGGCGGCATAAGCGGCTGTTGCAGCACCTGGAGTGATATCCTGAGCTGCCCCTTGGGCGGCAGCCTGGGCGGCAACCTGGACGGCAGCACGGGCGGCATAAGCGGCTGCATAAGCGGCAGTGGCAGCACCTGGAGCGAACTCGGTATAGAATGAAGAGGATGACGTAACTTCAGCATCAGTACCCGTCACAGCAGAACTCGTTACTGATGAGGAGCGCGGATACATGGGTACAGTGCCTGCTGTTAAAGGACCAGTATCACGTGTTTGTACTGTGGACGTAGGAGTGTAGGCTGACTGTACTGTAGACGGTGTTGTACCCGATTGTGCTTCCCCGTTTGTGCTTGTACTCGTCGAGTCTCCATCCGTTACAGTAGAAACCCTGCTCAATTCCCCTTCAGAAGGCGCCGCTGCGGTTTCACCCGTTTGAAGGCTGTAAGCGGAAGGAGTGTAAGCGGATCCTCCATACGCTGATGTACTGTATGCCGAGAATGGGGTGTAGCCAGAAGGGTACGGCGATGGGGTGTACGCGGATGGAGTGTACACTGCTGACTGAGTGTAGGCTGATGATTGAGGCCCGGGGGTATAAGCCGATGGAGTGTAGCTGGATTGGGTAGTGTAGCCAGATGGTGTATAAGCAGAGTATGGAGTGTATCCAGATGAAGTGTACCCGGAGTAGCCTGCACCGGACTGTGCGTACGCGGTATAAGAGGTGGTCGTCGAGATTGGAGCGGGATCCGAATTGTAGTTTGACGACAATGGCGAAGCTCGCGAATCCGTGTGCGACTGCGAAGTGGTCTCGGAGTACTGCGACTGCGACTCGTCGTCTCGGCTAGACTCGGTTAGACTCGACCCCGTGCCCTGGCGACCGATGCTCGCGATGTGGTCCGGAACGCCTGCCGAAGCAAGCACCGCCGCAGGGTCGGACGGCTGTGCAAGGGGCAAAAGCAGCGGCAATGAGGAATAGGGAAAGGGTTGATTGTGGTGTTACCATGATGATGAGACGCTTCTAAAAGCCAAATGAAGCCAAATGAAGCCAAATCACAAAGCGTCTATTCCAACAGGGGGGAAGGGCGGAGAGGGAGAAAGTAGGAGGGAGATAAGGAGAGGAAAAAGAAGGGAGGAGGGGGGAAGTTGCGACCTTTTTCAATCATAGATGACAATCTTGTTTTCCAAATGTATTGTTGTGTGCAGTCCGTTCGTGTCTTTTGAACAGTTTGTGTAAATTAACTCACGAAGTAGCTCGGAGGGCCGTACGACAATCCAATCGGGTACGCCGCTGTTCCCCCCGCGCCCCCTCCTCCCACGCCACCGCCGCCGCCGCCGCCGCCGCCGCCGCCGGTCCCGCGCGGCTGTTCAATGTAAAGCTCATCCACGTGGGTCCCCAACATCTGCTTCCGCTTCTTCTCCCGCTCGTCCCTTAATCTTCTCGCACCTGCTATTAACGCGTACTCGCCCATGTCCATGACTTGTCCGCGTTTGTAGCCGCCCGGATAGTAGCACAGTTTGAACCACACGAGAAGAAGGAGCGTGAAAAAAATACTAGTCGTGGTTATGGCGATTCCGAGTGGTAACTCTCCGGGCTTTAAGAGCGGCTCGAGGAGATCGGGAGTGACATCAGGTACCACCGACGCCATGCTTTTCCTTGGTTCTTCTCTCAGACGGAAAACGATTTCAGGTCGTCAGAATGAAAAGTAGTTGCTTTTCTAACATCAGAGGGACTTATGCCATCAGGTAACTAAATGCCTTTACATGACTGCTCTGGAGGTCTCTGCTCCGTTTATTCAAGACCGCTCACGCATTCTCAACTGCACGGCTTTGAAAGTAAACGCGCCGACTTGTGTGTTCAACTTCATGTTTGGAGGAGAAACGACACAAGATTTTGGTTTGCACTTATGTGCGAGTGCGAGACAGCAATGAGGGGAAGGAATGAGGGGAGAAGTTATAAAACGATGGTCGGTTTTGCCTTGTGGATACACGGGGGACGAGAATTTCGCGCCGTGTAGTGTTGTGGAGTGTGTTGAGAGATTTTCACCGGAGTTATCAAAATTCAAGCTGGTAACTACAGTCATACCGAGCCCGAGTTTCCCCGTGGCGATTTTCGCGAGACCTCGCAGCCAGCTGCTGCGTTTCCGCACACCCTCACGCACCCTGTTGTCCCGAACCGCATGTGCGACGCGAGAGTGTTGAGGAGTGTGGCAAGACTCTGATTGGCCAACACGAGATGTTGCAAATTCGCTGTGCGTCGTTGGGCTAGACGACATCGTGACCACCTTCGCGGACACGGAGCCGCCTTCCAGAACAAATCGCCTAATCAGGTGTCACACAGAAAGTTCTGGACAAGCAAACAACCAGCAGACATCAAACATAAGCAGCGAACATGACCACTGATCAAGGAAATACGGTAGGAAGGCTTTTGAAACTGAAGTATCCCGTAACTGAAAGTTTGATCCAATCTAGGCATCCAAAGCAATCAGGACCTTTTCAAATCTCCCTGAACTGTGCCATGGTAGGCAGGTGCCTCCCACACGCTTTGTTCTGGCATCGTTGCTTCCTCGACGAGCTCTGCTCGCCACACACACACTCCTTCACCCACGTCCCCCCAGCAATCTGATATGCCTTAAAGCCATCCTTCTCCAAAACCTCCCCTATTGGCTCCAATTTACCATCCTCCGGTGCTTCCACCTCCCCCGTCGCCTGTCCCATTCCTGCAGCAGCTGCAAGTGGCAATGCGTGAGACCCACCAGACGCAACAATTCCATCAGAAGCACTGTCAGCAGAACCACCAGCAGCAGTGGTACCAGGACCAGCAGCAGTACTGGTATTCGGAGCAGCAGCAGCACCAGCAATACTGGTAGCAAGACCTGACCCCAGTTCCTCCTTCCCATCATCATCCGAACTCCTGAACCCCTCTTTCTCCTCTTTCTCCTCTTTCTCCTCTTTCTCCTCTTTCTCCTCTTTCTCCTCTTTCTCCTCTTTCTCCTCACTACCCATTGCTGCTACAGCCTTGGCAACTGTCAAATCAGCACTCGCCTTACCATCAGCATCGTTACTATCACCCCCCTTAGAATCACTCTTCGTAGAATCACTCCCCTTACCATCTACCCCAACCCTTTCTTTCTTCACCCCCTCTCCCTCACGCCTCTCCCATCTCCCTCTCACCACCCGTCCCTCCTCCCCTCCCCCAATCCCACCTGCTCCCACTCCCCTTCCCAAACCCCCACCCCTCCCACTCCACAACTCAGGCGTTTTCTTAACCCAAGCCGCCACCTCAGCACCCTTAGCCACCAGCAGCCTCGGCCGATCCTCGTCGCTTTGGAACGGCGACCCGAGCCTAGCCAGCTCCGGAATCACTGCACCTCTCAAATGCCTCTTCCTTGACCGCCCCACCCCAACCTCTATCTCCATCTCACGCGGTAACCTCTTCCCCGCCTCCACCGCCCCTGCCACCAGCTCCAGCCAATAGCGCAGCGCCACCTGTGCGCCGTGATAGGACAACCCCGAGAGATGCAGTGTCCAGCGGGGCCAATCGCGCGAGAACAGCCGTGCGATCTGGCGCGTGCTGACCACGGCTTTAAGGACGGCAACAGCGGGATCGCGACGGTTGAAAAGGAAGAGCAGAGAGAGAAGGTTGTTGCAGAGGGGCTTCTGGTCCCTGGGATGCACGGCTGCTACGGTGTGGTCTAGCAGGGTGGTGAAAAGGCTACTGGGGTCTGCAATTTGCTCTGCAGCGGGTGATTTTGCTGCTGATTGTGCACTGTCTGCTGCTGCTTCTGCTGCTGCTGCTGCCAGTGCCACCGCCCCTGCTGCCTCTCCTGGCGCTCCCTCCCCTTCGTTCACTCCTGCTCCCCCTCCCCCTTGCGCATCATCAACCTCCTTCTCCAGTGCCCCCCCCAAACCCACCACCACCAGCTCATGAATGCGTGGGTCAACCTCTTTCAAGCAGCCCAGGAGAAGCTTCCTTGCAGCTACCATCCCCTGCCTCGCCCGCACAGGAGCATCGTCCCTCACCCTCTCAGTGCTCATTTCTTTGTCGACTTTGTCGAAACCTTTTTCGGGCACCTCCAGAATCTTTTTAGGGGAGGTGTACCCCAGCAGGTCGAGGAAGACAATGGCCATGCGGGTGTCGGGTTCAATTCCTGCCGCGAGCATTTTTTTGAAGTAGTGTGCTGAGAGGTCGAAACGGCCCCCCTTGCCAAACCCGTGGATAATTGCAGTGTACATAGCTACTCCTGTCCTTGCTTCTGCTGCTGCTTCCCCTGCTTCGTCAGCTTCTGCTGCTGCTGCTGCTGCTGCTGCGGCTGGTGCGGTTGCTGTTGCTGGTGATGGTGATGTGGGGGTGGTTGACCATACCTCTGAAGGAGATTCAGAAGCTGAAGGAGTGGCAGGTGCCTTAATAGGAACCGCACTCAACCCACTCAGGTCGACACCCAGACCAAGATACTCATCCGAACCTGACCCCTTGCTTCGGCCGCCGCCGCTGGCACGGCCGCCAAGGTAAATCCCGGCTGCTCTCGCATCTGCTAGTAACGCCTCCACTTCTGCTACAGCCGGATCCATTTCAGCCGTCCCCGCTACAGCCGACCCAGAATTCCCAACCTCTCCCTTCTCCCCTCCCCGCCCGCCCTTTTCTGCAAACAGACCTGCCAGCTGCCGCACGCTGTTCTCAGTTAAAACCACTCCATCCCTCTGCATACCTGCATACGCCCTTCTTGCTTCCTCCACCAATCCGCACTCGCGACACGCCTGCAAAACCACGCTGTAGAACGTCGCGTCGGGCCGAAACGGCCCGTCTCTCGCGCTCCTCCCGGCCGCCGTCCCGCCCTCGTTATAAGCCCGGCTCCCGTCCTCGTTATAAGCTCCCCTGCCAGCGAGATAAACCTCCCGCATCTCCTCGGCGAGCGCTAAAGCCTTATCCACCTCGCCCTTCTCCGTATAAAGCGCCATCATTGTAGTCACAGCCTCTGTAGTCACAGGCACATACGGATCCTGCTGCATGGTTTTAAAGACGATTTCTGCCTGCTGGTCGCGCCATGCCTTGGCGAGCACGTTAAGGGTAGCGTGGTACACCCCTGGGGTTACCAGCCGTGGGAAAGTTGGTGCTGCTGCAGTTGATGGTGCTGCCGGTGTTGCTGATGCTGGTGCTGCTGCTGCTGGTGGTGCCGCTGTCGTTGGTGCTGGTGCTGGTGCCGGTGGAGCTGCTAATGCTGCAAGTGCTGCTGCGGTTGTTGCTCCTCCTTCAACTGCTGCCTCGTTCTCTGCTGCAGAAGACGAAGCTGCCTTCTCCTCCTCCCCACCACTCTCTCCCCCATCCCTCTTCCACACACCAGCCCCTCTCCCCCCCATCTTCTCATCCACCCGCCTCATTTCCTTCCACAGCTCATACGCCTCCTGCGGGCCCCCAGCCTCTCCAAAAGCAGTGATGATAGTGGCATAGGTGACAGCGTCAGGACGCCACCCAGTCGCCCTCATGCGCTCGAACAGCCGCACGGCGTCGCCCGGCCTGCCTGCGCGCCCCAGAGCGTGCATTACTGTGGCGTAGGAGACCTGATCCGGCATGCACTCGCTCTCCGCCATTTGCTGCAGCCACTGCAGCACCAACTCGTGCTGGTCCGCCCTGGTGTATGGGGAGAGGAGGGACAAGACAAGAAGGGGCAAAAGTGGTAGTATAATTCATGCTCATCGGCACTGTGCGCATCGGCACTGTGCGCATCGGCACTGTGCGCATCGGCACTGTACGCATCGGCACTGTACGCATCGGCACTGTGCGCATCGGCACTGTGCGCATCGGCACTGTGCGCATCGGCACTGTGCGCATCGGCACTGTGCGCATCGGCACTGTGCGCATCGGCACTGTACGCATCGGCACTGTACGCATCGGCACTGTACGCATCGGCACTGTACGCATCGGCACTGTGCGCATCGGCACTGTGCGCATCGGCACTGTGCGCATCGGCACTGTACGCATCGGCACTGTACGCATCGGCACTGTACGCATCGGCACTGTACGCATCGGCACTGTACGCATCGGCACTGTACGCATCGGCACTGTGCGCATCGGCACTGTGCGCATCGGCACTGTGCGCATCGGCACTGTGCGCATCGGCACTGTACGCATCGGCACTGTGCGCATCGGCACTGTGCGCATCGGCACTGTACGCATCGGCACTGTACGCATCGGCACTGTACGCATCGGCACTGTGCGCATCGGGGGAGAAAGTAAAGGGAGAAGGGGTTGGGAAAGTTAGGCCCTAGTCGGGCAGTGACTGTGGCGTAGGAGACTTGATCCGGCATGCACTCGCTCTCCGCCATTTGCTGCAGCCACTGCAGCACTAGCGTGCTACTGGTCCGCCCTGTGTGCATTTCGGGGAGAGGAAAGAAGAGAGGGGTTCAGACAACAGGGCCTGCTCGCCCTATCACTTTAGAGAATTCTTAAAAGTGATTCCCAAATTCAGACAATAGGGCCTGCTCGCCCTCTTACTTTAGAGAATTCTTAAAAGTGATACCCAAATTTAGACAATAGGGACTGCTCGCCTTATTACTTTAGAAAATTCTTAAAAGTGATTCCCAAATTCAGACAATAGGGCCTGCTCGCCCTATTACTTTAGAGAATTCTTAAAAGTGATTCCCAAATTCAGACAACAGGGCCTGCTCGCCTCGCCCTAATACTTTAGAGAATTCTTAAAAGTGATTCACAAATTCAGACAATAGGGCCTGCTCGCCCTCTTACTTTAGAGAATTCATAAAAGTGATTCACAAATTCAGACAATAGGGCCTGCTCGCCCTCTTACTTTAGAGAATTCTTAAAAGTGATTCCCAAATTCAGACAATAGGGCCTGCTCGCCCTATTACTTTAGAGAATTCTCAAAAGTGATTCCCAAATTCAGACAATAGGGCCTGCTCGCCCTATTACTTTAGAGAATTCTTAAAAGTGATTCCCAAATTCAGACAACAGGGCCTGCTCGCCCTATTACTTTAGAGAATTCTCAAAAGTGATTCCCAAATTCAGACAATAGGGCCTGCTCGCCTCACCCTAATACTTTAGAGAATTCTTAAAAGTGATTCACAAATTCAGACAATAGGGCCTGCTCGCCCTCTTACTTTAGAGAATTCTCAAAAGTGATTCCCAAATTCAGACAATAGGGCCTGCTCGCCCTCTTACTTTAGAGAATTCTTAAAAGTGATTCACAAATTCAGACAATAGGGCCTGCTCGCCCTATTACTTTAGAGAATTCTTAGTGATTCCCAAATTCAGACAATAGGGACTGCTCGCCCTATTACTTTAGAGAATTCTTAAAAGTGATTCCCAAATTCAAACAACAGGGCCTGCTCGCTTCGCCCTAATATTTTAGAGAATTCTCAAAAGTGATTCACAAATTCAGACAATAGGGCCTGCTCGCCCTCTTACTTTAGAGAATTCTTAAAAGTGATTCCCAAATTCAGACAATAGGGCCTGCTCGCCCTATTACTTTAGAGAATTCTCAAAAGTGATTCCCAAATTCAGACAATAGGGCCTGCTCGCCCTATTACTTTAGAGAATTCTTAAAAGTGATTCCCAAATTCAGACAACAGGGCCTGCTCGCCCTATTACTTTAGAGAATTCTCAAAAGTGATTCCCAAATTCAGACAATAGGGCCTGCTCGCCTCACCCTAATACTTTAGAGAATTCTTAAAAGTGATTCACAAATTCAGACAATAGGGCCTGCTCGCCCTCTTACTTTAGAGAATTCTTAGTGATTCCCAAATTCAGACAATAGGGACTGCTCGCCCTATTACTTTAGAGAATTCTTAAAAGTGATTCCCAAATTCAAACAACAGGGCCTGCTCGCTTCGCCCTAATATTTTAGAGAATTCTCAAAAGTGATTCACAAATTCAGACAATAGGGCCTGCTCGCCCTCTTACTTTAGAGAATTCTTAAAAGTGATTCCCAAATTCAGACAATAGGGCCCGCTCGCCCTATTACTTTAGAGAATTCTTAAAAGTGATTCACAAATTCAGACAATAGGGCCTGCTCGCCCTCTTTAGAGAATTCTTAAAAGTGATTCCCAAATTCAGACAATAGGGCCTGCTCGCCCTCTTACTTTAGAGAATTCTTAAAAGTGATTCCCAAATTCAGACAATAGGGCCTGCTCGCCCTAATACTTTAGAGAATTCTTAAAAGTGATTCACAAATTCAGACAATAGGGCCTGCTCGCCCTCTTACTTTAGAGAATTCTTAAAAGTGATTCCCAAATTCAGACAATAGGGCCTGCTCGCCCTCTTACTTTAGAGAATTCTTAAAAGTGATTCACAAATTCAGACAATAGGGCCTGCTCGCCCTATTACTTTAGAGAATTCTTAGTGATTCCCAAATTCAGACAATAGGGACTGCTCGCCCTATTACTTTAGAGAATTCTTAAAAGTGATTCCCAAATTCAAACAACAGGGCCTGCTCGCTTCGCCCTAATATTTTAGAGAATTCTCAAAAGTGATTCACAAATTCAGACAATAGGGCCTGCTCGCCCTCTTACTTTAGAGAATTCTTAAAAGTGATTCCCAAATTCAGACAATAGGGCCTGCTCGCCCTATTACTTTAGAGAATTCTCAAAAGTGATTCCCAAATTCAGACAATAGGGCCTGCTCGCCCTATTACTTTAGAGAATTCTTAAAAGTGATTCCCAAATTCAGACAACAGGGCCTGCTCGCCCTATTACTTTAGAGAATTCTCAAAAGTGATTCCCAAATTCAGACAATAGGGCCTGCTCGCCCTCTTACTTTAGAGAATTCTTAAAAGTGATTCACAAATTCAGACAATAGGGCCTGCTCGCCCTATTACTTTAGAGAATTCTTAGTGATTCCCAAATTCAGACAATAGGGACTGCTCGCCCTATTACTTTAGAGAATTCTTAAAAGTGATTCCCAAATTCAAACAACAGGGCCTGCTCGCTTCGCCCTAATATTTTAGAGAATTCTCAAAAGTGATTCACAAATTCAGACAATAGGGCCTGCTCGCCCTCTTACTTTAGAGAATTCTTAAAAGTGATTCCCAAATTCAGACAATAGGGCCTGCTCGCCCTATTACTTTAGAGAATTCTTAAAAGTGATTCACAAATTCAGACAATAGGGCCTGCTCGCCCTCTTTAGAGAATTCTTAAAAGTGATTCCCAAATTCAGACAATAGGGCCTGCTCGCCCTCTTACTTTAGAGAATTCTTAAAAGTGATTCCCAAATTCAGACAATAGGGCCTGCTCGCCCTATTACTTTAGAGAATTCTTAAAAGTGATTCACAAATTCAGACAATAGGGCCTGCTCGCCCTCTTACTTTAAAGAATTCTTAAAAGTGATTCACAAATTCAGACAATAGGGCCTGCTTGCCCTCTTACTTTAGAGAATTCTTAAAAGTGATTCCCAATTTCAGACAATAGGGCCTGCTCGCCCTATTACTTTAGAGAATTCTTAAAAGTGATTCACAAATTCAGACAATAGGGCCTGCTCGCCCTATTACTGTAGAGAATTCTTAAAAGTGATTCCCAAATTCAGACAACAGGGCCTGCTCGCCCTATTACTTTAGGGAATTCTCAAAAGTGATTCCCAAATTCAGACAATAGGGCCTGCTCGCATCACCCTAATACTTTAGAGAATTCTTAAAAGTGATTCACAAATTCAGACAATAGGGCCTGCTCGCCCTCTTACTTTAGAGAATTCTTAAAAGTGATTCACAAATTCAGACAATAGGGCCTGCTCGCCCTCTTACTTTAAAGAATTCTTAAAAGTGATTCCCAAATTCAGACAATAGGGCCTGCTCGCCCTATTACTTTAGAGAATTCTTAAAAGTGATTCCCAAATTCAGACAATAGGGCCTGCTCGCCCTATTACTTTAGAGAATTCTTAAAAGTGATTCCCAAATTCAGACAACAGGGCCTGCTCGCCCTATTACTTTAGAGAATTCTCAAAAGTGATTCCCAAATTCAGACAATAGGGCCTGCTCGCCTCACCCTAATACTTTAGAGAATTCTTAAAAGTGATTCACAAATTCAGACAATAGGGCCTGCTCGCCCTCTTACTTTAGAGAATTCTTAAAAGTGATTCCCAAATTCAGACAATAGGGCCTGCTCGCCCTCTTACTTTAGAGAATTCTTAAAAGTGATTCACAAATTCAGACAATAGGGCCTGCTCGCCCTATTACTTTAGAGAATTCTTAGTGATTCCCAAATTCAGACAATAGGGACTGCTCGCCCTATTACTTTAGAGAATTCTTAAAAGTGATTCCCAAATTCAAACAACAGGGCCTGCTCGCTTCGCCCTAATATTTTAGAGAATTCTCAAAAGTGATTCACAAATTCAGACAATAGGGCCTGCTCGCCCTCTTACTTTAGAGAATTCTTAAAAGTGATTCCCAAATTCAGACAATAGGGCCCGCTCGCCCTATTACTTTAGAGAATTCTTAAAAGTGATTCACAAATTCAGACAATAGGGCCTGCTCGCCCTCTTTAGAGAATTCTTAAAAGTGATTCCCAAATTCAGACAATAGGGCCTGCTCGCCCTCTTACTTTAGAGAATTCTTAAAAGTGATTCCCAAATTCAGACAACAGGGCCTGCTCGCCCTATTACTTTAGGGAATTCTCAAAAGTGATTCCCAAATTCAGACAATAGGGCCTGCTCGCCTCACCCTAATACTTTAGAGAATTCTTAAAAGTGATTCACAAATTCAGACAATAGGGCCTGCTCGCCCTCTTACTTTAGAGAATTCTTAAAAGTGATTCCCAAATTCAGACAATAGGGCCTGCTCGCCCTATTACTTTAGAGAATTCTTAAAAGTGATTCACAAATTCAGACAATAGGGCCTGCTCGCCCTATTACTTTAGAGAATTCTTAAAAGTGATTCCCAAATTCAGACAACAGGGCCTGCTCGCCCTATTACTTTAGGGAATTCTCAAAAGTGATTCCCAAATTCAGACAATAGGGCCTGCTCGCCTCACCCTAATACTTTAGAGAATTCTTAAAAGTGATTCACAAATTCAGACAATAGGGCCTGCTCGCCCTCTTACTTTAGAGAATTCTTAAAAGTGATTCCCAAATTCAGACAATAGGGCCTGCTCGCCCTATTACTTTAGAGAATTCTTAAAAGTGATTCCCAAATTCAGACAATAGGGCCTGCTCGCCCTTTTTAGAGAATTCTTAAAAGTGATTCACAAATTCAGACAATAGGGCCTGCTCGCCCTATTACTTTAGAGAATTCTTAAAAGTGATTCACAAATTCAGACAATAGGGCCTGCTCGCCCTCTTACTTTAGAGAATTCTTAAAAGTGATTCCCAAATTCAGACAATAGGGCCTGCTCGCCCTATTACTTTAGAGAATTCTTAAAAGTGATTCCCAAATTCAGACAACAGGGCCTGCTCGCCCTATTACTTTAGAGAATTCTTAAAAGTGATTCCCAAATTCAGACAACAGGGCCTGCTCGCCCTATTACTTTAGAGAATTCTCAAAAGTGATTCCCAAATTCAGACAATAGGGCCTGCTCGCCTCACCCTAATACTTTAGAGAATTCTTAAAAGTGATTCCCAAATTCAGACAATAGGGCCTGCTCGCCCTAATACTTTAGAGAATTCTTAAAAGTGATTCACAAATTCAGACAATAGGGCCTGCTCGCCCTATTACTTTAGAGAATTCTTAAAAGTGATTCCCAAATTCAGACAACAGGGCCTGCTCGCCCTATTACTTTAGGGAATTCTCAAAAGTGATTCCCAAATTCAGACAATAGGGCCTGCTCGCCTCACCCTAATACTTTAGAGAATTCTTAAAAGTGATTCACAAATTCAGACAATAGGGCCTGCTCGCCCTCTTACTTTAGAGAATTCTTAAAAGTGATTCACAAATTCAGACAATAGGGCCTGCTCGCCCTCTTACTTTAGAGAATTCTTTAAAGTGATTCCCAAATTCAGACAATAGGGCCTGCTCGCCCTATTACTTTAGAGAATTCTTAAAAGTGATTCACAAATTCAGACAATAGGGCCTGCTCGCCCTATTACTTTAGAGAATTCTTAAAAGTGATTCCCAAATTCAGACAACAGGGCCTGCTCGCCCTATTACTTTAGGGAATTCTCAAAAGTGATTCCCAAATTCAGACAATAGGGCCTGCTCGCCTCACCCTAATACTTTAGAGAATTCTTAAAAGTGATTCACAAATTCAGACAATAGGGCTTGCTCGCCCTCTTACTTTAGAGAATTCTTAAAAGTGATTCCCAAATTCAGACAATAGGGCCTGCTCGCCCTATTACTTTAGAGAATTCTTAAAAGTGATTCCCAAATTCAGACAATAGGGCCTGCTCGCCCTTTTTAGAGAATTCTTAAAAGTGATTCACAAATTCAGACAATAGGGCCTGCTCGCCCTCTTACTTTAGAGAATTCTTAAAAGTGATTCACAAATTCAGACAATAGGGCCTGCTCGCCCTCTTACTTTAGAGAATTCGTAAAAGTGATTCCCAAATTCAGACAATAGGGCCTGCTCGCCCTATTACTTTAGAGAATTCTTAAAAGTGATTCCCAAATTCAGACAACAGGGCCTGCTCGCCTCGCCCTAATATTTTAGAGAATTCTCAAAAGTGATTCACAAATTCAGACAATAGGGCCTGCTCGCCCTGATACCAAACTCATTCATCCTAGTCATAGGTGTATATATGTGTGCTTAAAGAATAGATAAACTACAGTAAGACAGAACTACACTACCCCATACCGTGTAGCAGAACTGATAATGGTGGAGTAAGTGACGTTATCCAGCTCCACGCCCTTTTGAGTCATCTCCGCTAGAAGCTCCTTCATTCGCCCCCACTGCCGCCCCTTCCCCAGCGCCGCCAGTACCAGATTATACACGTACGTGCCTGGTCGAAAGGACTCCTGATGGGGGGGGCAAGAGTGGGGTGGGGGACGAGGAGGGGGAGTGAAGGGTAGAGATAAGATATTTGAGAAAAGCTGCAAGGAACACTGTCGCCCCTTCCCCAGCGCCGCCAGCACCGGATTGTAGAAATACGTGCTTGGTCGCAAGGACTCCTGAAAGAGAGAAACGGAGAAAGCGTGCGGGGGGGGGGGGGGGGGGGGAAGGAAAGGGATGACTAGGGGTTTTTGAGTAAAATCGACGGTGCGTCTCCCCAAAACGCCCTAGGGGATTCCCAAGGTTTCACTTGCGCTGGAAAATCTCTGACAACTTTCGTTGGCCACCTGAGGTGCGTCTACGAGAAACCCGCCTGCTTGCACCGCACCACACCTGATTGCACTGAGCCGCACCTTTTTCCTCGCCCAATCAAAGAACGCCACGGTCATGCGCCAGTCCCCCGTTTCTCGCAGCACTGTCGACACGTCCCTCCCCGTCAGCGTCAGCCTCAGGCGCTCCAGCCGTTGCGCCACCCGCGCACTTCCCCCAACCCTCCCCCCATCCCTTCCCCCATCGCTCCACCCATCCCTCACCCCATCCTTCCCCCCATCCTTTCGCCACGCATCCACGACTACCGCGCGCTGTCCCTCCCCGCGCCGATCCTCCCCGCTCTCCTGCGCCAGCACGTCGAGAACCTGCACCACGCGCGGCGGGAAGAACCCGCGCGCCCACGCATCTTCCCCCGCACCGCCGTCGGAGCCAAAAGCGGAAAACGGAGCAGCTTGAAGCGGGTCAGAAATCGGCGCGGCTGGAGCAGCGCGGCCCGTGCCGCGCGAGCGAGCAAACTGCGGGTTATTCAGTTCCCTCGGCGAGGCGCTTCGAGATTTCACGTCAGCGCGTCTATAGACGTCCTTACTTTTGCTCCTATCGGAAGGGCTAGAGGAGCGGCTCCACGAACGATCAGAAGGGAAACGATCAGCAGAGGAACGATTCTCAGCGGAACGCGAATTCTCCCGCCTCCTGTCCCCGCCGCCAGTCCCGCTGACCCGACCGCCGTTCCCCTCGCGGCTCCAGGCGCGACTCCCCCCGCGACTCCCGCCGCGACTCCCCCCGCGACCAGCAAAGTCCCCGCCACGACCGCCCGACCCACCCCGGCCGCGACCTCGGTTAAACCCTCCCGATCTGCTAAGCCCGTACTGTCGTTGATTCCTATCAGACCCCTCGTCAGACGACCCCTCATAACTTCGTTCGACATTTCGCTCGCTGTCTGGTGAACTCTCGACGCTCACTCTCGCTCCAGCAGTCTCGTCCCCGTTAGAAGCAGCAGATGTTGACCCGTTAAGAGATATCGGATCGGAAACAGCTACGCCAGTCGTACCGGCCTCCCCCGATTCAGTCACACTAGCCCGTGTAGTCACATTCCGTTCAGTCACACGGGTTTTAAACCCTCCGAATCTCGCAGGCTGCACGCGAGGACGCAGTAAAACGGTCCGATTGAAAGCAAGCGAAGGAGTCAAATGTCGCAGTTCAGAGTTTTCAAATGACGAAGTGCAACCTGGTAACAGGAGCACGCTTCGCGAAAGAACAACGGCCCCAAAAGGAGCCATTTTGCTTATAGAACCCAAGCGCACTGAAAGGAAAATCGAGCGCGACACGGGAAACAGCAACGCGTAGAAACCTACCGCAACGGGGTTCCGCTTCGCAACAGCTGAGGTGCTTCTACGGAAATGAGTGAGAGGTTACATTAGGAAGAAGAGGGAGAGGTAGCCTACTTCCATACTTCACGACTAATTTAGGCGGTAACTGCAACTTCCACAATTCGCGATTGCGAAAGGAATTGGACCGAGATGGGTGTGACCGCAACGAAACAAGAGGAAAATCCTTGTACATGTAGAAACATCTGTTAAAATCATAAATATTTCTCGACCTTCAAACATCTGCATTGACAAGGCTCCTTTCAATAAGAGCTATGCATTGACCGACCGACTGGCCATTCAGCATGGCGAGTGCCAACTCTTCATGCACGTCTTTGTGGCGCCGCAGTATGGTTGCCACGTTCAATACTGCCCACCGCACAACATCGTCCGACTTGCTCTGTGTAAATCCTAGTGACTTGTACAGAAAGTCCAACTGCAGACAATAAAAAAGCAAAGGAGTACACAGCATATAAGAGGCATATGGTACGCAATTACGGAAGTGACTTATACAGAGAAAAACTGGAAAGAGAAACACAAGGTTAAGCATGATTGAAAAATGAAAATTGGTTCTACTAACACTTTCAGAAACCCAGTACCTGTTGAATGTCAGAAATGCCACCTTCCGCAACCCCGAATTGCAGGTATTCGGCGCAAACTCCAGCCAGAGCCACACAAGAAACAGCATCCAGCATCTGAATCACATATGTAGGGAGTGCAGGATTGACGGGGAGGGATAGAGGTTAATAATATGCCCACTGATTAGGAAAACCAAGTGTCTCTTGCGAATTGTACAGGAGTCCACAGAAATGGGAAAAACGAAACAGTGTGAGTACAGTAAAAACGTGTTCTTTTTAATGCACGAAAAGCATAGAGGGAGGGGAAAATTACAAACAGTTACTCCTTATAATTAGCGATTTATAAATCTGAAAGTCGAGCACCAAGAAGGTTGTGCCTGATTACACTGTTGCAGCACCGTACTGCCAATACCCATCCAGAGCGGTGACAAAAAAACCCTTATATCTTACATCAGATTTAATTTGCCGTGTCCTTGTCTGCTTCTGGAAGTCCAGATCCAAAAAGGTGGTGCCTGCCTGCACGTTGAGAGCCCCGTAGCGCCGATAGGCGTCCAGGCTGGAGAGAGTGAAGGCACATGGGGGGATGCCCACGAGGTAGGAGATGAGGAAATGCCCTGCCTCATGCTGTGGGTTGGGAAGAGGGGTGGGAGGTGGGAGGGACAGGTTGAAGGTGAGAGAGTGAAGGCACGTGCAGGGATGCCCACTAGGTAGGAGATTAGAAAGTGCCCTGCCTCGTGCTGTGGGTTAGGACGGTTGGGAAAGGGGAGAGAGGTGGAAGAGATGGGAAAGAAAGAAGGTAGGGGGTGAGAGAATGCACTGCCACCTCATGCTGGAAGGCAGGATCGGGAGCGGGGACAGGAGGACGGTTCGAAGGAAAGTGCACGAATGAAGCTGTGCGGTGGAATATGGAGTGCCCATCAGGTAGGAGATGATGAAATGCCCTGCCTCGTGCTGTGGGGTGGGACGGGGGGGGGGAGGTGGGAGGGACGGGTCGAAGGTGAGAGAATGAAGCCGTGTGAAGAAATCCCCACCGGGCAGGAGACTAGGAAATGACCCGCCTCGTGCTGCGGATGGGAAGGGGAGTGAGAGGTGGGATAGGGAGTAAAGGAGTTGGGAGGTGGGGAGGCGTGAGAGTGAGGCTGCATCGGGGAATACCCACCAGGCTTGAGATGAGGAAATGCCCTGCCTCGTGCTGTGGGGTGGGAGGTGGGGTGACGAGTGGCTCAGGCGGGACAGGTGGCACAGGCGGGACAGGTGGCACTTGTGGGAAAGGACAGCGAGGACGGTAATGCGGAAATGCCCTGGCTCTTGCTGCCGAATATGAAGGTGACGAGAGGTGAGAGGGGAGCGGAGGGAGACCAGAGGAAAGAGGGAAAAAATGACAAAACGGAATAGATTTTGCGCGGGAAGAGGAAGGAGCTTCTGTGGGAGTGAGGCAAGAGAAAAGAGGGGCTGGAAGGGGTGTGATTGCCGCTAACCCTATAAGGGCCTGCTATGCACAAAACCAGCATGTCAAAACACTGCAATATTGATATATTGCAAGAGTAAAACATGTCGAGAGTGGGATTTGAACCCACGCCCTTTCGGACTGGAACCTTAATCCAGCGCCTTAGACCAACTCGGCCATCTCGACACGTTTTTACAAAATACGCTTAGTTTAATGATTTTTTTTCACTACATTCCTCCTTCCCTCCCAAATTATTAGCCTGCGCACCGTGCAGTGCTAGTTAATTCACTCCTCTCCACTCCTTCCTTCCATCCTTGCTACTCCCAATCCTGCTGCTCCTGTGTATTACCACAACTTACCTCAACACCTGAATACCACACTCACCAGAGCAACTCGTCTGCGATAGGTGGGTTTCAGCAGATTCCCCAAGGTATCCACCAATAGGGCCTCGCCACCGCCACCAGTTGACACCTGATTGGTTGGACAGTTAAATTCACGGTCAGGTGAAAACGGAGTCGAGAGGTTAAAGCAACCACTAAATAGTTGTGAATGGTGTACGAAAGTTCTGCAAATAAGTAGTGAAACCTTATGCAGAAGATTCTAACTGTGGAATCAAGCCCAGAGTAATAGGGTAATTTCTTTGTTCTGCCCAAGTCCGTGTAATATCGCTGTTGGACGCTCCCCAATCAGTGTTAGTCCGCTGCCCGTATCCCACCCCGTCTACCGCGCCATACCTGGTCTACAGTGCCGATGAACAGTAACCCAATGACCAGCCCCAGCAGCTGCCATTGGTCCAGGTGTTCGCCCCACCACGTGGCAAGCAGCCCTGCCAGCAACGCCAGCTGGCCTGCTTGCCTCACGCCTGTTAGCGTGGTATCCCTAGGCGCCAGCATGCGAGCAGGGTCAATGTAGTGCAGCTTCAGCTCCTCGATTGTGTAGGACCGGCGGGGAACCTGGTCATAAGAGGGAGAAGGAGATGGTGTTGGTTGGCATCTGGCGACTGTCTCTCATTATCTAGGCGCCAGCATGCGAGCAGGGTCTATATAGTGCAGCTTCAGCTCCTCTATCGAGTATGACCGCCGGGGAACCTGGAGAAGCGAGCAGGGAGGGGGAGATGCAAACGAGCGGTTGGTGTTGGTTGGATGCCAGTGACAACAGCGGTGGTAGTATGCGAGCAGGGTCTATGTAGTGCAGCTTCAGCTCCTCTATCGAGTACGACCGCTGGGGAACCAGGAGAAGCGAGCAGGGAGGGGGAGACGCAAACGAGCGGTTGGTGTTGGTTGGATGCCAGTGACAACAGCGGTGGTAGTATGCGAGCAGGGTCTATGTAGTGCAGCTTCAGCTCCTCTATCGAGTACGACCGCCGGGGAACCTGGTCACATGAGGGTGAATAAGGGGTGACAAATTCAGCCAGCATGCGCGCAGGGTCTATGCAGTGCCGCTTCAGCTCCTCTATTGACTACGACCGTTGGGGAACCTGGTAATAGTAGGGATGAGGACGGGGAGTGGGGTGCCACCCCCACTTCAAGTGGAATCATGCGAGCACGGTCTATGTAGTGCAGCTTCAATTCCTCTATCGATGTGGTAATGGTAGGGAGGAGAGGGAAGGAGAAGAGAAGTCAGGGGCATGAGGGGTAGTTCTGAAAACGATGTGCAGGGCAAAGCGGAGTAGGAGAGAAAAGATTTCAGACGACAAATTACGATCTATAACTAGAATCTAGCAAACATTCTAAAACTCACCTCTGGCGACGCCGAAATCGCAAGCGTAATACAGGTGTCACCTGCCCTCACCTGCGCAGGGATGGATATAGTCAGAATAACAACCATCCTCACCTGCCTCGCCGCACCGAAGGCTCTGAGAACCTTCTCGCCCGCATCTTGCGGGCCTGCACCGTCCACCGCCTCGTCCGTCCCCCTAGATTCACCGGATTCACCGGAATGACCGGATTCACCCAATTCACCCGTTCGTCCAGCGAGCCGCTTCACGAGCGCAAGCGCCTGCTCCTCCTTGCCTTCTGCCAGCAGCGCGTCGAGCTCCGCCGTTCCGCGGCTCAACCGCGACTCCCACGTGTCACTCGCGGAACTTACGTCCCGCGAGCCAGAAACCGTCTGAGACTCTGTGCTTACAGCTCGAGTAGAAACTGATAGTAGTTTGCGAGGATTGGGACTTAGAGAAAGAGCTGAGATCAAGCGGAAACCACGTGTCCGTAACTGATGTTTGATACTATCAGAAGCGGCGCGTCTCCTCTCGAATGGAACGGCAGGGATTGAAGTTGATGGACATTTGAGCCTGAGGGAACTCTCACGGAGAAAGGCCGGCATGGTCAGGCCAACCCGCAAACCCAGCGAATCCATTATTCTACGAGGCAAAGAACGCTGTATTGCTAGAACAAGATTAGCCTTCACCTTTCAAGGAAGATCTAGTATTGGGGTTGCGAATTCCACTTTGCTGAATGAGTTGAGTTCGAGAGTGGGCTTGCATGCGCTCCTCGTTTGGGAAAGATGCGATAGGCGTAAAGGACCAGTGAAACACTTTCGGATACAACCAGTCGTACTAGCGCGTTCCCTGGGTAGAAATTCGTGCATGTGCGCTTCTAGAAGCAGTGCCTCGTGGCTGCTTGTGGCAATGCCACGCATGGCGCCACGTCAGAAGCAAGCTTAATGAAAATCCTTGTTATTAGCTTCTAGCGTTCTCTCGAAATATTTATGATTAATGGAACTGTACGATCATGTTGCGTCGGATAATGTTCAGCCTTGGTGGATGGGCTACAGCTAGTGACCGCTCCAGCCTAATGGGGCTTGTTCCATTTTCGAACCAGAAACTCTTTATCCCCTCATCGGTGCTAACACGTCACACCTCATCAGCACCACTTCAATATTCGGGAGGCAGGTCCCCTCAGGCGTTTCCCGCCTCCGCTAGCACCTTATAACTGGGGAGAATTCTCAGTACTAGCTGTCAACCATTCATACGTGATCGTGATGACAAGGACTTTGTGGGCCACTCCATGGACAGTGTTTCGGAGACATGTGTGTTCCTACCCCCAGTAATCGAAGCTCGAACAATTTCATTGGCTGAAAAAAGTGAGGCACTCAGCCTCACGTGGTGCCACGCAATTAGCCAATGAGAGACATTTCGCATGCAATTTACCGCGTGTGGCCCTGAATGAAGGAGCTTTACGATTCGTCACCACGCTAGTGGCTCATCTGCACTGAAAAGCCGTTCCGCTTGATCGAGGAGGTCATCCCCCCCAGCAGTTCCAAGCTCCCCTGCCATTGGTGAGGGGCCTCGCGCAAAGAAGAGGAGTGCTGTGCGCGCGCGGACCATAACGAGGCGCGGGCAGAGACAGGGAAAGGGGCCAGCGGACCTGGTCGAGACGCGCGGGGCGCAAAGCAAGCCCCTCTGCCCATCTGATTCGCGCCACGCAAATGCGATGCAATGCATTTGTGTGAAGTTGTGAATGGGATGGGATGGGAAGCAGGGAATGTGCAAAACGGTTCATCCCGACTCCAATGTTCCCACCCCAACCAGGGCTGACGATTCAAGGGCAAATGCCCTTAATGCCCTGAACATTAAGGGTTGGGTTCGGGCCAGCTTCCAAATTTTAAGGGTTGGTTTCGAGGGCAGCCCGTCCCCGTAAAGTGCTGGTTGTGGGTCTAACCCGGATTTCAAGTGCAGATCCCTTGGCTAGCCCTTATTGTCCCATACTAACACATCCCTCCCTCCCATTCCCTCACCCGTCCCCCCACCTCCTCCCAGCCACCTCCCCCACTTTTCGGAAAATAGTATATAGCGCAAGCCGGCTACTTAACGTATTTCTTGATGTGATTAGCATCGGGCTCCGAAAAAATGTAGGTTTTTCCTTAGCGAAAGTGCAAAAAAGCTGGTAGCCCTGATTTCAAGTGCTAGGTTAGCTCTCAGCCCGTAAATTTCAGGGCAACTTTTGGGGCACCTCAGCCTCTCAAGTTCTGGCTCCAAACCAATCGACAGCCCTGCCCCCAACACCACAAAGCTGTTGGCAGAAGTATTTATCCGCTCGCTGCTGCCATTCACTGCACACTCTTATTGACTGCTCACACTCTTTGTGGTAGTTGTGGTCGATAAACTGGTGCCGGCCTCCCACCCCTGGCTGCCTTTCACAGAGCTCTTGCTTCGGCGACTTGAGCCCCTCTTTCCCATACTGTTGTGCGTCGCTGCAAGAGCTGATCAGAGAAACGCTGAACTCTGAATTGACGGAAATGGCCACCACGATAAACGACCTCCCCGAGAACTGCATCGCCACGATTCTTTCCTTCCTCACTCCAGCGACTGTCGGTCGCGTCGCATCAGTCTCGAAGCTCTGGCTATCAGCTGCCAAGTCGAGCACCTGCTGGGACCAGCTCCTCGCAAACGGTCTTCCCTCATGCTTCCGCGAAACTCCCGCGGCCCTCGCGAAAGACGAGAGGGGCCTTCGTGAAGCTCTTGGCGAAGGCCTGATGCTTGACGACGGGCGTTACCACATCCAGGTGGACCCTGCGACGTCGCTCATCACCGTGAGCGTCAGCGTCGCACAAGTATTCGAAATTCTGTGGGAGGATCGCGACCAGGATCGCATGCGACGACACGACATCACCGGAGCGATCTTCGACGAGGCGTCGCAAGGAATTATCGTCCACTGGCTGAGTACCTGCGGGAAGATCGATCTCCCGTTTAAACTCCACAGCGGATACTATCGCATGTCGTGGCGCGTCGCTCAGGAAGACGGCGGGCCGCGGAGGTCCACAAGCCCGAAGCGCAGATTCATGCGGTCCCAGGAAGAGCCTTTGATCAGTCAAGTACGCGACGCGACGACTGGACACGTGGAACAGCACGATCTTGACGGTATCCGTCAATGGATTTCAACCACGCCCACGTGGACTCGCATGCCCGCGGGGTTTCTCCGCGTTGGCGACGGAGGAGCTTCGGGCAGCGCGTCGTCGCAATTCGCGAACGTTCGATTGATTTCGACACTGACGGATATTTCGCGACAGCGACGAAAGCGGGGTCTATACCTGGACGCGTTCGTACTGGAGCAGATTTCTATGTAACCTCAATTCTCGAAGCAGCGACTCGGACTCGATTGGCTTCCACCTGAAGTGGCGTTGTACTACTCAGGAACGCGCGAAAGGTGGCGCGATGGGTCCTACTTCGCACGGCATGGTTATCACTTCGTCGTTCTGCGAGTCGACCACCCGAGTGAGTTCAGTAGTGCGGGTGTGTGCATACCATAAACTTCCAACGCGAAAGGGATAAACAGACATTCGAAGTGGAAAGAGGCATGAACGGGGAAAGATTGGCGGGGGCCGAGCGGGGGTGGAGACGGGAGAAAGGGGTGGGAGAGGAGTGGTATCAGAGGAGCGGAAGACCGCGAAAGGAAACAATCACGGAGATTGACAGATTTTCAAGGTTGGCTGGCATTATCATGAGGTGTGACCAGGTCAGGGGTTTACTAGAAGGTTCTTCCGTGCTGGATTAGAGAATGAGGTAAACGTAAAGCAGAGGGACTAAAGGATCTGCGAAAAAAAAAAGCGCGAAGCTGAGAGAGGGTTCATGTTGTTGGAGTGCCTGGAGAGGCGAGGCAACATCGGATTGAATCGAAACCCCTACAGCGGACGAAGGGGCGTTATCGTGCCGGCGTCATATTCTGAGTTAATGAGGGGCTTCTTGCATGGTCGTTAGGCGAGCATGAGGACCTCTGTAGGGAAGTGGCGGATGTCGTCGCAAAAAATCCGACGGATGGTTGAAATGGAAACACGACTTTCTGGAGTTCTCCTGGTGCTGTGGGCCAAAGTCGATGGTTGTGTTGTGAAACATGACTGTGGAGTGTGTGCAACTTGAAGCAGAAGTCGGCGGGTGACCCCGAGTCTGCAGAAACCGACGGCCACCGTCAAGATCCGTCAGCAGCAGCAGACGTCAGTCATGCACTGCATTCGCGTCTTTTTCATGAAGTTCCGCCTCGAGATTATTGCAGTGTGTGTTCTGTACAGCCTAACCCAGGTGGCGAAGTCACCTACCAAGCAGCTGACTTTTGTTCAAACAGGGGTTTAGAAAGGGTTTTAGTCTTTCTGTGTAATGCCTTTGAAAACAATTTAAATAGTATGCGCTGGATTTATTTTACAGAGCTGCTCACGCAAGTAGTGTCATATCACCATGTCCCTTGAACGACACTTCTAAAACAAACCACCATTGCAGAAATACGTCAAGCAAGATAATAGGTACATTATTATTTACAATCAAGTCCAACAGCCAAACGCTATTTGAAAAAATCTGGTACTACCTTTTCTCCACTTGCAAGCATCAGTGCTTGCCTCAACCTTAAGTAGCCGCCCTTCCACTGATCTCTCTCTTTCTTAAGCTGCTGCAGCTGCTGTCTTTGCACAAGAACATGGCTCACAGCAACACAGGCAAGCAGAGCAACAAGGGGCAAGCATAGCACCCATACAGGCACCACTGTCAAATGTTGTAGCCTATAGTGAGGTTTGTCTTAGGGGGTACAAAACTTAGGGTTAGCTATATGTACCCCAACCAACATCAATGCACCATCCATTCCTCATTCTGACATGGTATCAGTTAGGTTAGGATCCTGTGGGATCCCGTTCCTCCGTTCTCCGTTCGTATCTCCCGAGCCTGATCCTACCTCTCGTTCGTACCGGTTCCGTTGTTACCGCGCCTAGTGCCGAGCCTAGCGCCCTTCCCCCCGTCGCCTAGCGCCCTTTCCCCCCCGTCACGTCGCGCCCTTTCCCCCCGTTGCGTCGCGCCCGTTCCCCCCCGTCGAGTCGCGCCCTTTTCCCCCCGTCGCGTCGCGCTCTTTCCCCCCGTCGCGTCGCGCCCTTTCCCACCGTCGCGTCGCGCCCTTTCCCCCCGTCACGTCGCCCTGCCCCGTCCCGTCGCCCTGCCCCGTCCCGTCGCCCTGCCCCGTCCCGTCGCCCTGCCCCGTCCCGTCGCCCTGCCCCGTCCCGTCGCCCTGCCCCGTCCCGTCGCCCTGCCCCGTCCCGTCGCCCTGCCCCGTCGCGTCGCCCTGCCCCGTCGCGTCGCCCTTCCCCGTCCCGTCGCCCTGCCCCGTCGCGTCGCCCTTCCCCGTCCCGTCGCCCTGCCCCGTCGCGTCGCCCTGCCCCGTCGCGTCGCCCTGCCCCGTCGCATCGTGCCCGCCCTTTCCCCCGTCCCGTCGACCCTACGCCCTGGCCCGTCGCTCTAGCCCGCTCTTCCGCTGCGACTAAGTCCCACCTGAACCCTAATTTGCCTCTTACCTCCTGCTGTTACTCGCCTGCTCGTTCGCGTTAGTTTTCGCTATGGCGACTCCGCGAGT